CGTTATCGGTGACTCGTTTTTGCAAACAACTTTCAAAACGACTTGAATGCGCGTATGCGTACAATCCGCGAGATAATTACTCTCCACATTTTCAAATGAATGTCCACTGATATATCTGTGCCTCGGTACAACAGTGAGTAATGGGTGTCCGACTCCCAACGGGAATATTCGCCTCCATACTTAGATACAACGATAAACCATTATCATGAATTAAGTATCGCATTCAATGGAAAAATAAACTCAGAATATCAAAAACAAAGCGTACGGAGCCGCATCATATAGACATCATACACAATGACAAGCGCTAAATTTGGAGGCTATACGTAAAGAAAAAGAATACATGCGGGCTCCCATGTACCTATAACCGGTCTCACCGCAACTTGGCAAGCGGCGAAGGCTACGTTCCCAGCTAGCCAATCAGCGCGTCCGGGAGAGACACGTGACAGTGCTTTCTCTCACCAGTTGCGCGCAGTGCTGTCAAAGTCACGAATGGGGGAGAGAAGAAGAAAGCCGCTCTTGTGCGAATCTTGAGGGGGCTAATCTTCCAGGTGGACAAAAGCGACGTCTGGGAAACAAAAAAGAAGGTCCGTGTAAAAAGGAAGTTCCTGCCCTCTTCAACTGCCTGGGATAGCCTCTCGCCCCCGTTCCTCTGGTAAGGGCTGTCCATAGTCTTCGCTCTTTGCCAAGTTACGGTGAACGGAAGTATATAGAGATACTGCATCCGGTCCAAACACGCGTCAACGCTGAGTTATTGCCCGGCCGACACGCTCGATCACGTGACGAGGGCGGATTGTGGCGACCTTATAACGTTCACGCACGCGCTTCCACGTAGGGTCGTTTTGAACCGTGGACAGATCGATGCAGACGGCCGGTCGGTACACGCCGCGTCGTTTACCATTTTTCTTTCTTTTCTTTCATTTTGTTCGTTTCAATTATTTTTGTTCGGCAGGGCGGTGGCGTCGACATGGCAACGCTGTTCGAAGGTCAAGAACGAATCAGCGTTGTTTCCTTTGTTGTTGCAGCGGCAATCGCAACGATCACGACGCTCACGTCGAAAGGGACGATAGCAGTCGCGAGAGGTGCAACCTGTAAACGTAGAATATGCGAGTTCAATGACGTCAGAGGGTAGTTGGGGATGTATCGACTCGCATTGAGCGCGGATCGATCTAAGTGAGGAGGATTCCGTGGCTTTCACAACAAACGCAAGGCCGAAGGAGAAAAAAAAAATGCTTGCGGTTCAGCGACACAAGACAGGGTTGGGTTCCTAGCTCTACTAGGCCAACACACACCCGAGACCGTAAATCAACCTAACAAAAATAGTGTATCCGAGCAACCTTGGTAGATTCGTTTGTTCAGTCGTGCCTTCATTTGCCGCCGCTGACCGGGGTAGCTCTAAAGTTAAAAATATGATTAAAATATCGCTTTTTTTTTTTTACAGCAACAGTGTTTTTTTAAGTGTTCTTTCTTTATTTCCCCGTCATTTGTACGAATGCAAAATAATAAAAAATATATTGAGTATTATATATTTATGCGAAATCCATTGCTATATGCCGCGACCCGCGGTCAGATTTAGGAAGTTCAGCCATATACATCTATCTATTCACCCAGGTTGCCAGCAGGGTGTATGCGGTGTGTTTGCGGGCAGTGTTCGCTGTCTTTTCGCGCGGCTAGACATCACCAATCAACTCCGTGAAAACTTAACATGAATGAATTTTGTAGAATAGTTTATTATAAGCAGCAAGTCATAATACATTCTTACTTGTGGTAAACTATATTAACGCAGAACGCATTCGTACTTACGATACCGCATGGGAAGTTAGGAGAGGTGGGCTTGGCCAGCTGCGAGCACTGACTTATTTAAACGAATTGTTTTTTTACCACCGAACAGCGTTCGAGAAGCACCTTGTATATCTAAAGCAGGGGCTCCCACTGCTTCTACATCGTACTAAACACAGGCTGCAAACAGATTCGAACGCAAGTCACCATGAGATATGAGCTTCCAATGTCGCATGGCAACATGCCGCATGGCAACGTGCTGAAGGAGGAACTTGGCACGCGGCATTCGAACCGCGGATATCGCGGTGACTGATGTCCGATAGACTGTCTTTTGTTTGATGTATTGGCGACGTGAGCGATCGAAAACGTCGCTGTGATCGGTCTTCCACGATAGGCCGAATGCTGACTATGACGTCAGCAAAGGATTTCTCATCGACAGAAATAAGAGGAATGGCAGAACTTCAATTTTGACGGTGTTGGCAGCGTTGGTTTGAGCGTGCTATGATTTCAAGCTTCTACCAGGCTGTTTACAAACACCTTCAAACTTGTTGTTCACAAGGTAATGACGTCACGAAAGGTAACCATAGGAGGGCGCCACCAAAACATCTCGCCGCCAATACGGAGTATTCACTGGACGCCATATTTGTGGGTGCTGTTTAGAGCGCATGCTCAGAACGAGCTCACATCAATAGGCTGCTAAGACCGCCACTCTTGATGGTGCGGAATGCACGTTGCAAGAGAACTGCGGAAGCTCGCCATCAGCACGCGCTCAAAATTCGCGCACACAGCTATGGCCGCCAATGAATACTCCCTATAAGCAGTAGGGGCGGTGCAACGATATTCAATTCGAATGTTTTTCACTTTAGACGAGCTTACTGGCACTAGTGGGGCTCAACGTCACTCGCACGCAACGCCAGTGGCCAAGAAACTACTTTGTTGCGGTGTAATTTCAATGACAAAAGCGATCATTTTCATCCAACCTCTCATTTGCAAAATTTCATGACGTAACGTGGGGATCGCAGTACACCCCAATGACGATATTTGAATGCGTTTCATATATTGGACCCGAGCTTTGCATGGGCACTCGATTTGGGCTCGTGATAATTACTAGCCCTGCATCGAGGTGGCACGGAGTCCGCTTCTTGGTGCGAACTTCGAGTGTCGCGTGCTGTTGGTTTACAGGCCCTTTCCGTGAGCCAAACGTGTTTCACCAAGCTTCACTGATTCTTTCTCGCACCTCCTCTCTACTGCGACGCTCTTGTCGCAACTCTGACTCTGATAGAGTGCTAGAAGTAACGCGTTACAAGTATTGACCATATTGGTAAGGCTGTAGGTTTTTTTTTTGTTTTTTTTGTAACGTACAAACTTACGCGTTAGAATTCCAAAGTATCAACGAGTTTACTATTTTTAGGACAATTTTATAAAATTACGCTACTCGTTATTCCTTGCTTTTACTTAAAATTTCTGACAAATTTCGAGGCACTTATAGGTCTAACGCACCTTCGGGACCTTGCTTTATAAAATCGCTTTGTAAACCATTAATCGCACTCGAAGTTTGCAACCGCGGCATTTCCTCGCCATATTCAGAAATTTGAGTCAACGAAAAAATAACGTTCGTTAGCTTTGGAAGTAACCGTAACGGTATATCGTTACAGTTGCACGAGGATAACGAATCTCAGTAACGCGTTGATCGGGAGTTTTAGAATAGCGCACGCTAAAGCTTTGCGCACGCAAAGAATAGCGTCATCGCCACTGCGCATACTCCCAACGCTAACCACGTCTTGCTCTTTGCGTGCGCTATTTTAGCGTACGCTACTTTTCGGAAATTGCCTGCGTACGCAAAGAGTCTTTCCGCTTCTCCAAGGAGGATTCGTGATGAAAAGTTGGCTAAAGCCCCCAGGAGTGTTGGTCGTGCCCAGGACCATGGCAGCTGCCGGTTTGGCGGCGTACTGAGGGCGACGTTGGCGGCATCCTCGCGACTGCGATTTTCAGTACGGGACGACATTGCACTCGGTTTGGCAACGATCACCGGCAAATTGATGCTTGTGACGCAGGAACATTTCTCGGCGAAGGTACCTCTTGTCGAGGCGACGCAAGCGGACACGACCAAACGACCGCTTGCGTCAGATTCTCATTTTTAAACAAATCTAAATTGTTGCTCTAGAGCAAGTTACAGCATTTTGTGTGTGAAATAAATATTGTGACTGTATTTTGGTGGCGTTACTAGCGCGAGATGCTCGGGCCTTTGCGTCGCGGCGGAGAAACGCTATTCTAAGATTCTCTTGAGTAGAGTCCGCTAACGCAAGCGCTAAATTTAGCGCTAACGTGCGCTAAAACTCTCTAATGTCCGAAGAACTAACAAATATAACTATTTCGATTCTTATTTTTGGTAACGGGCATAAGACTGCTCTGAACGCACTTTACATCAAACCTGGACATGGAGGCCAACAATTCTACACACGATGTGCTTGGAGCTATAGGGTCTCATAAACAAAATTTAAAAAAAAAATGTCCAAAAAGTGTCACGCAAAGTGCAACATGCTAATGGACGTGTGTCCCCTTAAATCTGTTGAAATGCGTTTCCTCGCTATACATAGCATAGTTCGTGAACTGTCACGCTAAATTCCGCTAAATTTGGCGAAATTTAAGGTGGTTCTTGAACTCAAAAAAGCTCGTAAACACACACCTAGTGCAGCTCAAAACACGCTGCTCGTTCTGTGTCTGCTCTGCAAACCTTGTTCGTAAGGTTAAGATAGCCTTAAATTTCAACTGAATATCAATCTGGTTTCTTAGAAGCCTAAAAGCCTGAAGTAGGGTGGTGATTAGGGCCAGTTGGTAATAGTTAAACATGATGAAAAACAGCCTCAGATAAACAGGGACGAAGAACGGGTAAAGAATACAACAGGACAACGGCTGTGTCTGTTTTCCTGTTTCACCCGTTCTTCGTCCTTGTTTATCTTAGGCTGTTTTTCATCATGTTTAACCCAAAAGTGTTGAAGCTTAGATAATTATAGAAATTTATCTTCATTCTATGCTAACTTTATTTGTCCCGATTTGTAACCAAAAATAATGTTAAGCCTCAATATTAAATAAAAACCATAAAAATACAGTCAAAACAATATTAGTAGGGATTTAATAGGGCGTGTTTAGAACTCAGGTATCAAATTATAAATATTCTTAACCAATCTTGTTTGTTTCTCCTTTCTCTCTCTCGCAGGGCCAGGATGGCGCAGGAAAGTGTGAAAGTGGTGGTTCGCTGCCGGCCCATGAACGCCAGAGAAAAGGAGGAAAAGTGCCAAGTGAGCAGTTACAATATAAGTTAATGTCCTAGTTGGTTAAACGTCTCAAAAAACAGTTGGCACAAAAAGCCAGGACAAGTAGAACATTGAACAAGACAAGCGCTCGTCCAGTCCAGTCTTCTACTTGTCCTGGTCTTTCGCACTAACTGTTTTTGACAATTGAGCGGTGCTTTACATTCGCTTGTGAAATCATCGACGAGCCAAGATTGCTTTCCTACTAGATAAAAAGGCGTTTGGAAATATACTATTTTATCTATTGACAGGATTAGAACGGCAGGGAGGTCCATCAATTGCACAAATTCCAGTGCCAGATCCCCACCTTCGGGAACGCTTCGGTGGCCGTTCAGCCTCGAGCATGCAAGCGCAGCCAAAGCACAGCGGAAGGCAACGAGTGCGTTCTAGTGGTTCTAGAGGCCGGGCATTAAAAAAAATGCCCTGCCGTTCTCACTTTGTCAGTGACGATAGAGTAAAATGGAAAACGCGGGTATCCTCTGGATTTGACTAGCGCACCAGTAGAAAACAAGAAAGCCTGGGAAGCCGACGAAGTGACATATGTACGAGAAAACGCCGAGGATGTGCGCAGCCTTCAATGGGTAGAAAGTTCTTAGCAATACTTGGAAGGATAAAACCTCACACCGAATCAGACTTCGGAGCTCAAATAAAAACAAAGGGGCCTAGGCGTTTCTTTAATACATAAAATGCTTTTTAACGCTGCTCCCCAATCATTAAATTTTGTCCGTCCGTCCGTCCGTCCGTCCGTCCGTTCGTTCGTTCGTCCATCTGTTCAATCGACGTTAAGTGACCTATAGACCACGTCAGTTACCTGCTAAATCTAGCGGGAAAATTCACGTCGTGTGGCGCAGACACCGATCCAGTTTGCCCGCTACATTTAGCGGGGGAAATTGACGTCACGTGATCTGACATCATGAGACCTATACAGCCATTCAGTTTCCCCGCTAAATTTAGCGGGAAAATATACGTCACGTACGTGACACGCCAATTCCCCTACCGATAACCCCTTTTAAAAAGTCCATCAAGCAACCTTGGCGGTCACCATTGGTTGGACACGAAGCGCCTGATTGGATTTGAGTCCTCGCCGAACGCTGACGTCACACTCGTTTTCAATACGAGCTGAGCCGAGTTCACGCCGAACGATGACGCAGGCCTCGTGTCCAATACATACTCACAGTATGTGAGCAATGAATCAAGGCCAGGCGTTGGCGCAGACTTTTGATTGAAAAGGTTCGAGGACGCCAAAGAACACGCAAAACGTGATGAAAATGGTGGAGGGAAAGGTAGGAGCAATCATGAGCGGCATATTAAGGAACGTAAACAGGATCAGTAGATCGTTGAAGGACGCGTTTGAGGCCAGAATAGAGGAGGAGATGGCAAATATTCTCCAGATTCAGATGGAAAAGATTAGCATTGCGCTAAACCAACGCGTTAGGGCGGTGGTGAAATAGAAGTAACAGATCAGAAAGCGGGCTAATATGACAAACGCTAGAGGTGAGAGAGCTAGTAGCCGGAATGAAAACTAGGCACCGAGAGCGGAAATAAGCGCTCGAGACAATCAAGATTTGGCAGTGAAATTGTAGGTCAATCTATAGGAAGAAGCAGGGACTAATACAGCTTACCCTTGTCCAACAGCCGGATGTGATAGCACTTCAAGGAACAGAGACGGATGAGCTGAGAGTAAAGGGATACGAAATACATATAGCAAAGGGCATGACCAGAACTCCGATACTGGTCAAGAAACAATTCACATGACAGCAGCACCAAATTAGTCACAGGGTAGAACATGGGCTGGTAGAAATTGTGCCGCAAAAGAAACCGCAGGGTAGTTTATTCATTCCGAATATATATAGCCCGCCAGGAGAGACTCTGGGGGACCTGGACAGGCCGCTAATGAAGGTTGGAAAGGTAACGAAAGGACAAAAACTCTTGGTGCTGGGGAACTTCAATGCCCACATGTGGTGTGGGGTTACCCTACAAACAGCACGAAAGGAACCGATATCCACAATGCCGCTCAGAAATACCAGTTGACGCTGCTGAATGATCCTCAGGTCGCTAAAAGCATTGGGAACAGCGTCTCGAGGGACACCAGCCCGGACGTGACCTTCTCGGCCGGCATCCCACAAGTCGAGTGGTCGAGGATGGAAGAGACACTGGGCAGCGACCAGTATATTGCCCAGATGCACGTCCGACATCACAGGGCACCGACAAGGCTGGGGCAGGCAAATATCATGGATTGGGCGGCTTTCGGGAAGGAGGAGGTCGCCGGGGAGGTTGCACACATTGAGGAGTGGACCCAGCAAGTGACTGGAGCCGTGGCCAAAGCACACAAAGACAATCCAGCTCACGACAGACAACCCAGAGGTGGATCCTCATTTGTTTCACCTCTGGGAGGTGAGGCAAGAGCTGCTGAAAAGATGGAAGCGGCAGAAAAGAAATCAGAACTCAAGGGCAAGACCGCCCGGATCACAAGGCAGGAAGAAGAGTACGCCAAACAACTGGGGAGTCAAAACTGGAACCAAGTGTACTATCAGCTGCCGGGAACTTTGAGCAACTAGAAAACCTGGGAAATCCTCGAGGCATGCTGAACAGAGCGGAGTCCAAGGTAACCTCACGACAGCAGATCCAGCAACTCATCCACAACTTCCCGGGCAAGAATAATGAGATACTAGAGGCGGTGAAAACAAAGGCATTCGGAGAGCAGCCTTCACAAGGCACGGCCACCTACTCAGGAGACATTCCAGAGCTATAACAACCTTTCACCAGAGTTAAGATGGAGGTTGCTCTGGGAGAGCTGACGAGAAACACGGCACCAGGGCGGGATTGAATTAGCAACAAAACTCTCAGAAGCCTGGATGGCAAGATGGTCGATTGCCTACTAAAACATGCCCACGAAAGCTGGGAGACTGGGAGGATTGCGTCTTTCTGGAAACATGCAGATGTAGCGATAATTCCTAAACCTGGCAAGACTATAGCCATCCATAATATGAGACAGATATCTCTAACATCCTGCGTGAGGAAGTTGGTTGAACACATGGTGCATAACAGACTGGTGCCCCTTCTGGATGAGAAAGGCCACTTCCCATGCACCATGTAAGGCTTCAGACCACATCAATCGACGCAAGACGCCATCCTGCAGATGAAGGAGGAAGTCATCAACAACTTGAGCTCTAGAACCAAGAACACCATCCTAGCCCTGGACGTGAAGGGCAACTTTGACAATGTTTCTCACGCGGCGGTGCTGAGAAGCCTACAAGGGACTGGTTGCGGAAAGGTCTACAATTATGTACGAGACTTTCTGGCAGACCGGACGGCGACGTTGGGACTGGGGAGTCTAAAGACGAAGAAGTTGAAGGTTCCGCAGAGAGGGACTCCTCAGGGGTCGGTGATCTCACCACTCATCTTCAAACAGGCAACGAGGGGCCTACCGGAGAGGCTGAAGGGCATTGCAGGAATAATGATTTGACAATGTGATTTTATTTGACAATGTGGTCGACGACCGGCTCAGCAGAAGCCACGTAGGACGCCTGGAGGAGGCGGTGTACAGGACTGAAGCATTCATGACAGCCTGGGGTCTGGCATGTTCCTGAAAACGTCAGCGCAGCTAATCCTGAAGAAACGAAGAAGAGGGAGGCCACCGCCGGAGAAGCCGGACCTAGAGCTGACCCTGAACGGAGTCACCATTCCGAAGGTCGATACGATCCGGATCCTGGGGCTGAATGTCTAAGGAGATGAAGCGAAAAAAATCACAGTGCAGCGGCTGCAGGAGACGGTTTCCCTAGTCACACATCTAGTGAGGAGGGTGGCTAACCGTAAGCACAGACTCAAGGAGTCGGACATACTGAGACTGATGCAAGCCTTCGTGGTCAGCAGGATCACCTATGGAACTCCATACCGGGGACTTAGGAAAAGCGAAAAGGAGAAGATCAACGGGCTCATTAGAAAGAATTACAAGCTGGCATTGCGACTACCTCCAACAACCTCAACGGAAAAGATCATCCAGCTTGGGATCCGCAGCTTCTGGGGGAGATGGTGGAGGCCCGCAAAAACAAGCCAACTGGAAAGACTGAGCCTCACAGCCGCGGGTAGAGCCACGCTGGAAATGCTAGGCTACCGGACCGAGGGGGAGGCAAGAGACAGAAAGAGTATCCCGTTGGACCTGAGAAACAAGGGTGGCGCCCATCCCGGGAAATATGCATCCGGAACACCCCATAGAGTGGAGGAGAGCCAGAATGGAAGCTCTCGTGAAACGATACGAGGGGAAGGTGGAGTCCGCAAGATACACCCGTGCAGCCAAGTATGCAGAGAAAGGAGCGTACGCAGTCTGCGCGGTGGACGGCAGCGGAAAGGAGCTGACAGGAGCGACAGTCAGGGCCCATAAGACAGAACCGGCGGAAGAAACGGCCATCGCTTTGGTGGCTACGACGAGCAGGGAACGCCTCACTATGGTCACAGACTAAAGGCCCGTTCACACTTTTGCGACCGAGTAAGACCGAGAGAGACCACACCGGTTTTTAAGCCTCTTGTGATCTCTTAGGACCAGCTCCGCTGAAGCGCATCCGGTCGTAAGAAGTCGCAAAAGGCTTAAAAACCGGTCTGGTTTCTCTCGGTCTTACTCGGTCGCAAGAGTGTGCACGGCGCTTAATAGGCAGCATGCAGAAATTTCCAGTGGGGAAGAGTGACAGCAGCGGATCTCGAGATCCTGACAAGAAACAGAAAACTTCCTGAAATCCAGATAGTCCGGGCCCCGGGGCACGAGGACCTGGCGGGAAATAAGGCGGCCAACGCATTGGCTCGCGATTTTGCTCTCCGGGTCTCCCTGTCAATCGATCGAGCCCTGTTGAGCCTGGATGAAGGCGTCCACAAAGCAGTGCAGATACACTAAAACACTAACAACTCGGCAGAAGGGTCTATCTACCACTACACCCGAAGCTATCTAGGGAAAACCAGTCTCTTGGAAGCAGCCGCAAACCTATCCACATATTACACTCTATCACCCGAGATATCCATCCTGCTATAAATATGACTACAAGGCCTGCAAAACCTGCAAGGAACCCAACAACCTTTACCAAATTGTATGGGGATGCCGATTGCAAGGCCTGCAAGGTTCCCAACAACCTCTAGCAGATGGTATGGGGATGCTAGAGCAGCACGGCTTTACAACCCGTGGTGAGCCCACCAGAGAGCAATGGGAGAGTCGGCTGGCCAGCACGGATCCTGGCGAACAAATCGTCCTGATCGACATGGCCCGACGGGCAGCCAAGGACCATGGTCTCCTGGCCTAAGGAGACCGCCCACCGGGGGACGAAGACAGCGCCCACTGTTTGATAAATGAAGTTTATTCTCACTCTCCCTGAAACGATTGCTCATTAGATATGGCCTCAACAGTCATAGCGGTGTCCATGTGTATTTTTCTAATTAAATTTTATGAGGTAGCCAAACGTGCCCACACAAAGAAACATACCTTATTTTGCAATTTTTTTTCGTGAAAAAATGTTGCGTCTGAGAGGAGGTTGAAGCGAACAGAAATTAAAAAAATATACTATGACGCACGCAAACGTGATTAGTGCAGTAGAAGATAATTAAATCAAGTTTATTTTACTTTAGATTAAAAAAATACATATATATTTTCCAGCAAGGCTTTCATAGTAAGCCAGTTTTATTGTAACTTTTAAAACATTAAAATTATGTTGTTGTTTTTTTAGGTGAAACCTTTTGTGCAGAGTATTCTATCGTTTGTTTACTTTTAATTAACCTCTTGCGCTCTCTCTTCTTCTTAGTGGTCCTTGCAATGCGCCGATAATTTGGCCGAAAATCGAAAAAGTAAAAATTGTGCCATATTTGTACGGCAAATAAAAAAAAAAGATGACAATTCTCGATTATCCTTTAATTTCATCCGACGGACCCCTGACAACCGGTAATTGAAAATCTGAAAAAAACAAAAAAAAACATGTTGCATTATTTTGATTTTAATTTAAAATTTCAATTTGTTTTAATTAAAAAAAATAAACCTGTCATCAGGATTTTCCTACAAAATATAGCAGGCAGTTTATAGAAACCCTATCCACATTTTAACGACTCTGAACTTCCTCTCTAGTAACGTCGTATCGATATATGAGTGCTCCGTGGCGTGTGTATTTGTAATGGTAGCATATGTGCACACGGCAAGTGGCGAGATCATGTTTTCATGAATATATTGCGACAAACTTAAAGTTAATCTACATAATTTTGTTACCATATGCTTATAGCATTTTTATAGAGTAGACTTGGTAGAAGAATAAACTGCATTGCAGACAAGCGACACAGTTTGAGCCTCCTTGCGGAGGCTGCTTTATTCGACAATCTATAGTTATCGCCTCTTGCAGTGCTTTGTATTTGCAAATGCAGTTCACTAACCTTTATAAACCGCATTTAGTATAAATTATTGGCAAAAACATTAACATACTGTAATCCTCGTTCAAACGATTGCCTTTCAAATATGGAGTGTACATAGCGATGGATCAGTCAACACAACCAAATTACCAGTGTCATGAGTGCCCCGTGGCGTGTGTATATGTGATGGTTGGCGTATGTGCACACGGGAAGTGGAGAGTGCATGTTTTCATGAATATATTGAGACAAACTTAAAGTTAATCTACATAATTTTTTTTAGCGAAAAACAGTCCCATTGGTATTCGAAATGAGATAGGAACTTTGTTAGAATCTCAATCTGTTTTCTGCACAATTTCTATCCCATATGTATTCCCTAAGCTCTATAGAATGTCTACAGAAGAAACGGCCATAAACCAATAGAGAGTAGATAGAAAAGAGGATACATTTTCTTTAGAATATTTTTTGCCTCTATACACTATGCTCTTTCGAAATTCTGTAGACAGTGGATAAATATTTTTATGGGCTGTTGCAGTCGATTACCATTTGGGGGTACTCGAGCATTGCGTGTCGATTTAAACTGATATTGCATAATTGACCTCTATCCTTTTCGATCTGTTAATTACATTCCAGAAATATCGTTTTCTGCGAAGAAAACACGCGATTCCGCAGCGCCACTTGAGATTTTGTCACAAAAAAATTGGGTTGTGTGTATGTTTATACAGCCTAGAACTTGGTCTGCCTCAGAGGGGTGACGAGTCTCCCAGCTGTAGATGAGCAATTTAGCCAGTGCAGTACAACCGCTAGCCTGGGGTCTTTTTAACGTGCACCACGCAGTAGTGGTACACGACCGCACGCCGGTACGATGCTCATCCAGATCGAAACGGGCAGGGGTGGGGCTCGAACCCAGGATTTCTGGGTTCTGCAGCGCGAGCTTTCGCTCCACGTGCTCCGAGCTGGTGTGCGCAGTTTTTGTCCCATTTAAACTGAGCTCTGTGTGGTTTCCCCTCAGACGATCGTGAGCATCGACGGTTCTGCGGGCCAGTGCTCCCTGCTGAATCCCGCAGACCGTGGAGCGCCGCCGAAATGCTTCACCTTCGACGGCGCTTACGACGTCGACTCGACCACGGAGCAGATCTACTTCGACATCGTGTACCCCATCGTAGAGGTGAGTTCCTCCGACGCATTCGAGACTTTATAGTTCTCCAAAAATTATCGGAAATCACGACCAAAGCAAAATCGGAAAGAGGGCATTCGGCGTGCTTCCTTTGTAACAACCCGATAACCACAAAGCTCACAATTCCAAGACAGATTTGCGGGTACGTCCGCGCTAAAAGAGGCGAGCACAATGATCGACATCTGGAGGCGGAAAACAGCCTTAAACCGTATCATACATATATATCACACATACATGTGTACGGCGAACACTTGCATGGTATATGGACGATTTGACTGCGGCTTTACAAGGCGCTGCGGTTTCGCGAAGACTCATAAAGCCAGAGTAGTGGGGCGCGGTGGAGCCTACATCTCCGCTGTTAGGCCTTTTCCAGCTTTCTCGCTGTATCTATGGATTGCAGCGATAGGTGTCGCCCTTTCACTGACCGGGAAATCGATCGGTCATGCTAATCTTTTGTTAATGCTGACTGTGCACACGCAATTATCTAGACAATAGAAAGGAATTGAACTTTTTTGAAAATGCGCAGCTTATACGCTCACGATCAATGTCCGCCTTCCTGACACGCGCCGTCGAGTCTTGTCGGCGTGTCGACTCGCCGTCTTCTCCTACCTCTTCGTTCTTGCATCGACGCAGAGGATTCCCAGACTGAGGCAACGGAGGGTTGTGTAGGGTGACGAGTGATCGATCACATTATGACACGCACGTCAACACGCGCAGGTGATTGGCAGTGCAGGTATATTTGACGAGTGGCCAATGTAGGGTGTCTAAATGTTCTTTTGAGGCGCAAATCTGGAAAAACATTTTTATATCTGCTACTTTCTCCGCTTGTGACACTCACTCTACGCACGCACGCACGCGATATTTGACTCAGACTCCGTTAGAGACTAATTATGTAGTAAAAGTTAAATTTCTGTGCGTGAGTGCGCAATTGGAGCTCCACTCGGGCAAGCGCCATAAGATCAGCGAGCCCGGACTGTGTCGTAGCATTTTCTCACAAGTAGTGGACAAAAATCAGCCTCTCTACTCCGTAACGAACCAAGTGACTTGTAGAATATATGCAAGGCCCTTCGTTTTCTGGTAAAACCCCGAACACGTTTTTTTATTGTTTTAATTGGGTAAAATTAATATTTTTTTTTAATTCGGAACAAGATGTTTACCATCTTCACATTTTTTTTTTTGGCGTTGTAGATATGTGAAGCCTATTAACAAGTTTGTTGCGAGCCCGCATAACAGGAGCAATACACAAAAAAGATATTCGATTAATGCCTTAAAAAAAATTCGCGAAGGCAATTTTGATAAACGAGCGTTACGTTACACAACTTAATGCCTCGCTGACGTTGCTGTGGGTTGCAAACGTAAGCTTTTATGACGAGAAAACGTCATCTCAGTTAAAATATGTCTCAAGACTGGACAGGTCTACTATCGTAACAGAAAGGTGCGCATGCAGATGATTATGCATGTCAACAATATCATGAGAATTGAAATGACAGAGAGAGCTCTAATCTTCGTTTTAATGCGAAAGCATAAACTGGGTCTCATGGAGCGAGCTGACGTGATCAGTCTGATGCGCGAAAACGGCAGAAAGTTTCCTACGGTTTCATTGCCTGGCGCGCGTCCACAGGGCTCCCATTGGCCACTGCGCTCGTCAGTTTCCACGACCGCTCACCCCACGGCGCTGCTTGTCCATCAGCGCGAAGCGTCCAAGGTAACCAGGGGAGCACACGCGCCAACCGGCGACGAAAAGTACGCAGCAGACGAAAAAGGGAGCGGACGAGTGGCTTGCATGCTTTCGTATTCACAACTCGTAAGGAATGCTTAGGTGTACTTCGATCTTTTAATCCGGTTATGTGCACATTAATTACATTCTTGTGTCAATAAAAAATTCCATGTCCTAAAACTGATCAATAATTTTATTTTTAATTAGTTTATTGATTTTTATATGTAACCAGAAAAAATCCCGAATTCCGTAATAGTTTCTAGAAACACTCGATTTCTCCCCTATTACGAGCTCAGAAAATACGGCCTCAGTTTTACCCCGATTTGTTGTTGCTTTCTTTTTCTTTTTTTAGAGCGCAGCTCTTGGGCGTTTGTTTCCGGCTTGAGCGGCGTGGGCATCACCGTCGGCGTAACCGCGCGGTGCATTATGGGCAAATTTCCCCGCTAAATTTAGCGGAAAAATTTCTCTGCTAAGTTTAGCTGAAAAATACCCCGCTAAATTTAGCGGAAATGTTTCCCCAACAATTTTAGCGGGAAATTTTCTCCGCTAAATTTAGCGGGAAATATTCTCCGCCAAATTTAGCGGAAAATGTTCCCCTAAATGGGAGGCAAGCAGGAGAGGAGGTGGGGCATAGCCTCCTCTCCGTACCTTCCTCTTCTCCTCCTCAAGAGCTGCGCTCAAATTCGGCGTTACAGGAGATTGTAAACGTCTCGTTTTTTGCAATGTGAAGCACAAAAACGAAGGGCCTGAAATATACGTATGTAGGTAATGTTACTCTCCCAACGCAAAAAGCGAACAAAAAAACACGTCTCCGCGCCTCCTTGCGAACTTCGAAAATTTCCCTGCGCATCTAATTTGCCGCAAGGCACTGGAAAGACCAGACATTTTGATCTCCTTTGGTACCAGAGTGAGCCTGTAATAAATCCAAATCACCGCGCAGAAAGACAGGGACAGAGAGAGTAGCACAGGGGTCGAGCGCTGAACTATCAACTGAACATTTATTGAAAAAACGGCTCGAACGAGAAACCATCCTAAAATCAAACAACACCGTACACCGACGGCGTGTGGCTCACGAGGCGTGTCGCTCACAAGGCGTCGATAAAATCTATCAATTTATTATGTAAATAAATTCAAGGCTGGCTTACGCAGTGCCTCGCACCTGTTTTTGATGTAGAACTACACCTTTCCTTTCTCCGCGCTTGGAAGGGGGCGCAAAGTTGAGAAGTCGATGTCACGAAAACTTGGGCACGAAATGTCACAAAAACATAGTCAAGGAATGTTACAAAAATTTGGTCAAGAAAGTGGCGTCACGCACGTCAAAATAAATTTGAAGTTGTCAATGCGATAGAATCCTTGAGATACTTCACCTTCAACGTCCGCCATCGCAGATACCATTCAACACGTATTGTGCGAATGCACTGAATACAACTGCAAAAGGGAGTTGATGAAGAACCACCTGAGACTAAGAGCAACAAGAGATGACCATTCCTATTTTGTTTTGTCCATGGATATCTGCAGCTGATGGTTATGTAACAACGGAACCTCCCCTGAAATTTCCAAGAACTACTGGATTACAAAAAAAAAACACTTTAGCCTGCTTAGGTGAGCTCAAAATGGAAGCAACATGCTCCAGATACAAACTTTAAATCGTATTTTTATTTGATTTATTCAAAAAAAAAATTTTTTTTGTCATTTATTCTTTTTTGCTCGCTCTCTCTTTCTTTGTATTTTTCTCTCGTTGCCTTTCTTTTATCTTATGATTTCCATTTCCGTTTATTTCGTAATGTAGCAAACCGGGAATGGGCGCCAGTTGACCTCATTGTTTAAAAACACCTGCTTCTTTCTTTAGAGCTCTTTCACCCGGTTTTCGCGGTACCGAATCTGGCCTCTAATGTGCTGTGCGTATGCGGAGGTCATCCTCGACATCGTACTAGAGGTCGTCCTTTAGGTCGTCCGAGAGGTCGTCCTCTAGGACCTCGTCCTCGACGTCGTTCTTGAGGTCTTTCTAGAGGTTGTCCTAGAGATCGTCCTAGAGGTCGTTCTAGACGTCGTGCTAGAAGTTGTTCCAGAGGTCGTTCAAGGCGTTGTTCTTGAGGTAGTCTCCTAGGACGTCGTCCTACAGGTCGCCTTTGACATCGCCCTGGAGCTCGTCCTAGAGGTTGCCTTAGACGTCGTCTTGGACGTCGTCCTAGCAAGCAGATATACCCACGCCGTGTATACACGGAGCGGCAGTGCGCACACATTCACATTTGCGCCCAAGCTACGAAGCAATTATCAGTTTGAGTTGAGCTAGTTGGTACATAATCAATGAAGGTGGTGAAACAGCTTGAACATTAAACGATTACACGGAGACAGGACAAGACACGCACACGAATCAGCAATGATGGCGGGGAAATACCTTGCACGTTAAACAATTACACAAAGACAGAAGATTAAACGGTTACACAGAGACGAAGTGATCACTCAATTTCGAAGTGGCGCGCGGCAGTCGCGTTGACGTCAATGATTGCGTCCTAAACCATTCATAAAGTAGTGTTTACTCAAAATTTGCGTTGTTTTATTCACAGTTACCTGCGTCGTGAGTGTCATGGCGAATGCTATCGCAATTCATAGACAACCAACACTAGTGGTTTCTGCAGGCAATTTAGAGTTCTTCGGCAGCGGCCGTAGTTCTACGGAAACTTATGCCGCATAGTAAATCCATCCATCGACCAATTTTTCTGTTGCATGCGCATCCAGAACCTCTCCAGCGCGCTCCTTTTAATTTATTTAGTCATGAACCAACTCGCCTGCATTTCTACCTTAATTTCCACTCGTAAGTGGGCTGAACCCAAACATAACGTTTGCGAGGTTGCATTCATCCTGGCATAAACATGTGACCTAGCGCCTTCAGTGATACATCGCAGACTTTTAGCTTTAGTTAAGACAACCTCCCTTATTGAGAGCGATGATAAACACGGGGAACAGCGCACCCGTAAAACAGTCACTTAAGTCCACACACACAAAAGAAAAAGACACTTACGCAGCGCTGACTAACAACTCTCTTGTATTATTACACTTTTTTCACTTCGTTTTGTATTACGGGTTTGTTCATTTTTTTACGGGAGCGCCTGTTCCCCCTCTACATCATGAGCAATCAACTCGTCCGAACTTCCGTGTTAACAAATGAGGGCAATGATTACCGCTGAACGTTTGCTCCACCGGAAAGTAGCCACACGAGACTTTCTTCGATTGTTGTGTCTGGAAAGGTTTTTCCTCAGCTCAGGCGATTCCTGCAGTCTCGTGGTTCAAAAGATGAGTTTCGTCATCGGCGAGTGGTGTCTGGAATATTTTGAAATTAAGTTGTATTTGATCTGCTGTTTCGTGACCGCATATCACCAAGAAAACTGAAACTAGCCCAAAAAGGGTTACACAGTGGCGTACCGTTTTTGAGTGGGAGAGGGGGGGGGGGAATCAGACCCCCCCCCCCTCCCCTCCCCAGGATCGGGGGGCGGTGCCCTCCGTATCCCTTAGGCACCGCCGGCCACTGTTTGCCCTGCCCAGTGGCGGCTGTTTCAGGGGGGGGGGGACAAAACAGATGCCTTGCCCCCCCCCCCCCCCCCTCTGAGGATGGGGGGGGGGCGGGGGGCAAGCACTCCCTTACCCCTCCGGTTGGTACACCCATGGCTCTACATGATTAGGTTGTGGTGGTACTTGCGTTCATGAATAACATAAACAAAGCGACGTTTCACGCCAGCCACTAAACTGCCAGGGCACGGTCCCCTTGCATCCTGAAGGCTGGAATCCAAAAAGCAAGAATGCCATGTGCAAGCGACATATTTTGCCTGGATTGACGTTGCATGCTCGTGACGCAACCACCTCTCTCCTGACGGCAATCGCAGGGCGAACACTGCTGAACAAAATTCGTCGGTTGTTCGCAGCACATTAGCTCCCGGGAATCCAGGCTTTACGCGTTCATTTCTCTCCGCGCCTTGGTTGTAAAATGTGCAAAAGTGGCTTGAACCCATAGCAATCTTACACAAAATATATTTCTTTCTCTACTGGACTCACTATATCGGTCGCAAGCCTCTCACAGTATTCGCTACTATACTATGTTTCATAATTAGCGTGCAACGCTGTCAAAGTTACTGGTCCGTAGCTTCATCTATGCTTTTGTTTGCGCGAGAACTCGTGCAAATGGTCAACGAGATCAAGCCCCACGCTCGCGCCAGTAGCTTTGACAGTGTTGCACGCTAGGTATGAAACAGAGTATACTGTAATTGTTAAAAAAATTTTCAACTCTTTTGCCGTGGTCAGAAAAAGCTAGAAGATTGACTCTTGATGATGGTAGTTTAATAGCAACTGATTAGATTGAAAGACAAAACGTGCTTCTGAATTCCTTCCTCTCGTCTACTTTACAACTATCACAATAAAAAAAAAAAAAGCTGATTTTCTGTTTTTTCTTTTTCTTTAATCTCGTGTGCTGAAGATTTAACAGTGACTATGGCAGTTATCAGATGCAAAGTAGTAGCGAGCAATACCCTAGTTACACCCGGTTGGTACCCGTGTAACTATAGGGTATTACACAGTTTTTGTGCGTCGTCTTGAAGGTATCCCAACAGCCTCGATTTAATCTTTCTGCAGAGCGTCAGCGAAGGGTACAACGGCACCGTGTTCGCCTACGGGCAGACAGGCTGCGGCAAGTCGTTCTCGATGCAAGGCTGCAGGCTCCCACAGCAGTCCAAACAGAAGGGCATCATACCACGAGCGTTCGAGCACATCTTCGAAGCAATCGCGGCGGCGGACGCTTCGAAGTACCTGGTGCACGCGTCCTACCTTGAAATTTACAACGAAGACATCCGGGACCTTCTAGCCGATGATCCCAAGAAGAAAGTAGACCTAAAAGAACATCCGGACAAGGGAGTCTACGTGCCGGGTGCGTCAGAAAACGTTAATAATTGAATTGCAACTAAAACGTCTTGTGAAATACACGAACGACCTCGTATATAAGTTATCTGAAAAGAGTGCTTGAAATATAACGCACTGAATTAGTCTTGAAATGCTTGCGCTTCTTTACTGCTGTACAGACTATAAGAAGTGCTACTGTCGGTTGCCAGTCAGCACGGTTGGCACCGAACCGGAGTTCATAAGACTGTCTGGGAATAGATTGTCGATATTCTAAACGTAGCGTATTAGTATAGCTCTAGTGCAAGGCAGTCGCCGCCTTCTAGTATATAGTGTCTTTAGTATTTATACTAGACTTGCTAATTTTTAGCAAATCATGCAGCGCCGAACACGGCGCCGAAATGTGTGCCTGGAGTAGATGACAGAGGCGACCTTGGAGGCCTCGGGGAGCGGGCAAGAGCGGACGCCCTCTCGTTTTCTTCAGTGTCATATTACGGTGCTTGGAAAGCGTCTCTGTTTAGTGTGTTTAACATGTTATAACGCCCATGCATCGACAGCGATCCCGAAGCGGCAATAAAGGACATCACAGAAGCCGGCGTGTCATGCTGTTAGATGTCGTGATTCCGGCAGTTGGCGGATAGAAGCCCCGGCAGAACCTACGAGGGAACGCGCGTCGCTGTCGTCGCAGCGTCCCAACTCCTGGCTGCCTGAAGCTTCCGTGAACTGTGAAGCTGAAAAGCGGCTTGAAGCAAAGCAATCGCCTGACGCATTTACCACAGCTGCTGCGAAACCGCCAGGCTCGCGGCCGGCGACAGCATGACATAGTCAGGCTGAAATCAAAGGAGCACTTTTTTAGGACGCGGTAAACACGCCAGTCTGAGACGCTTTTCCTGGCACCATATATAGTCACATGGCAGATGCTGTGGAGGCTACAGGATTTCGCTTGCGGCTTTTCGGGATTTTTGCAAAAGGTCTATTGAGGGCATCATCGACGTCCGTGCTGCAGGGCTCTCGCTGCACCCGGTGCAAGACGTGCAGTCGTGCGAAGCAGTCATGGAGCGCGGCTGGAAAAACCGGTCCGTGGGCGCCACCCTGATGAACGCGGACTCGTCCCGGAGTCACTCGGTTTTCACCATACACCTGGAGCAGATGGAACTCACCGGCCGCAAGTGCATCCGCTCCGGGAAGCTCAACCTCGTCGACCTCGCGGGAAGTGAACGGCAAGCCAAGACAGGTGCGTGCCAGCAGACCTACGGGTGCATGTACGACTGAATCTTCTCAATTGGACTGCCGCTTGCACTAGGGTAACTCAATGGCGGAGCCAGAACATCGCCTTCCTTTTCCTTTCCCCGCCAACTCCTCATTGGTAGAGAAGGCAACACATGGCCAAATTTGACAACAGCGCTTGCGGAGAGCAGGGTTCGGGATGGGGCAAACTTTTAGCTCTACATTTGCTAAATGTAGATATTGCACTGACGCCTGACGAAGCTGAGGCTTTGTGAATCTTCAGAGATTGCGTGTGCAGTCAGACGTGTGCAATTGCGTCCTTTTTTGTAACGCAAGCGTTGTTTTGAAAGCGGCCATCTACAAGCAGACGACACAACGCCCAGCAACGTAGCGCGTGCGCTTCTGAGGGACCCGGAAGAGGCATGACGGCGTACACGCGGAGTCGCCGGCGTATCCGCGGTGAACCACTACCTCATGTCATGCCCGTCACGTTTCCTGTAAGAGTGACGATAGATTCTCCAGCATTACTTAGCGTCAGAAATTTAAGACCGTTGCGAAATTCTGTTCGCAAGCGGAGCATATTCAATTACTCTGGCTTGCGCCACTTTTCCTGTATTTTTAATTTCAACAGGTGACCTCTACCTAATACACAAAACGTTAAGATTAAGCCGTTTAACGGTAATACTGCCAAAATAGTTACACCAACTCGATCATGCTGACAAAGACCGGGGAGCAGAGACTATCGCAAATGAACTGGGAGCACGTGCTAGCTGTGTGTGTTACGTCACGTGGCGTCAGGAGGTAACATGACTGTGGCGTCATATGATGTCATGGTGTCACGTGATGTCACGGGTCACATAGCGACATCATCACGTTACATCAGAGAGGACCGTGACGCCACCGAAATTTCAACTACGCGTTAAATTTAGAGCTTTTTTCAGAACTTCGTAAAATGCTCTGCTTGCCATATATGGTTTTGTGAAGTGCGCTGATTTAGTGGTTTTCGACGACGCCCTGAAAAATTATAATTAGACACCTACCTTCAGATTGACAAATTAAACTTTAGCTACTCAAGCATAATTAAGACCCTAATTATAATTAACATTATTTATCTTTCCTAAATAGGTGTTTTGGCAAACAGCAATAGGAGATAAAACGTTTATTTCTGTACGCAACGCACTTTACGTAGAAGCGATGCTGTACGCGTCTAGAGAAACACCCTGTATATAATTATCGATTTAGATTTAGTTAATCATTATTAGGATTCCGTGTTTCCGGTTTTTTTTTCTTCTTTTTTTTAATTTTTAAACTCGGCAAATTTTTTTTTCAGTGTTCTTTTTTTTTTGGGGGGGGGGGGGGGGGGGGTTTGGTGCTTTTCTGTCTTTATTTTCTGTGTGACGGCTTACGTTGAAAAAACAGTGTGCGGCCGTTGGATTTCTTATCCTCCATGAAACATTTGCGAATAGGCAGGAAACTCGGAAAACTTTCCGGTACAAATAAGAGAAGGAAACGAGTTAAAGAGGGAATGAATAAAGATGTGCTCATTGTCAAAGAATACAATAGCAGTCTTGCTACTAAGCATATAGTCAAAATGTTTGGCTAAATGTTTGTATCGGTGGTAATATGTACCTATGTGGCTAACGAAGCAGTGGGTTGTCTATGCTTCGATCAGATGCAGCTTATATGCACTCCTGCAAACCTGCATGTCTGATGTTTCACAACGGGCGTGGTCCCCGAAGAAGGAAGCAGCCTCGCGAACAGTTCAGAGTGTGCTTTTTTGCGGATCAACTTAAAGCTTAGGATATACAAATGTTTCTATAAAGCTTTTTTTTTATTTTTTATTCAAAAGAGCTTTTATTTGTTTTGTTTTTCTTACCCCGATTTTGATGACACCGGTTCGAGGGTTTCTTTCCGAGGTTTATAGGTATATAGCGAAAACGCATAACCCTAGTCATTACTGACCTCCTTCGATGGCAGGTGCAACGGGCGAACGCCTACGAGAGGCGACCAAGATCAACCTGTCTTTGTCGGCACTTGGCAACGTAATCTCAGCCCTGGTGGACGGCCGCAGCAAGCACATCCCATACCGGGACTCGAAACTGACCAGGCTGCTGCAAGACTCCCTGGGGGGCAATACCCGCACCCTGATGTTGGCCTGCCTGTCACCGGCCGACTCCAACTACGACGAGACGCTGAGCACGCTCCGCTACGCGAACCGAGCCAAGAACATCCAGAACAGGCCCTGCGTCAACGAGGATCCCAAGGACGCTCTGCTGAGGGAGTACCGAGAAGAGCTAGAGAGGCTCAAGCAGCTGCTGACAGGGCGGAACTTCAGAGCATCCAGGGAACACACTCCGCCCGATGAAGGTAGAGGCCTTGCTTGCTGCTTTTTAAGCACGAATATATTTGTGTTTGTTGAAAGCGTTTCATGCTTTTGGCCGAACTTGGTGTTCGAAAAAAGGCTTTGACTTCGAACAGCAAACCCATTAGCTCGCCACAGCAACAAAAGCTACGCATGAGGGTACATCATGTCAGTAATGTCACGACTGACATTTATTGCGACGACATTTCTATCCGTCGATAAAAAGTAAAAACTACAGTAGACAGGACGCTGCCAGCATTAGTTTTGTCATTATTAATGGCCTGCCTGTGACGTCCCAGTGACAGTGGCTAAGGCAAATCATGAACCAGTGTTGAGGGGACGAGAACAATTTCAATGAGGAACGCCATGTTTCAATGACCCTAAAGCTTGAAATGGCTGGAAAGCTCTAGATGGCTTAAATTTCCATTGACTCGAAATATGGCTGTTCATATGTCAGTCTTAGGTTTAAAGGCCATTGTTTTGGCCTGTCGTTTGCTAAGCTTTGATGGTTATTCAGCATGAATGAAGTTTCGCGTCCTGTATGAGGAAGAAGATGAGAACAATTTCTTCTCTCTTTTAATTTACCAATGTTTGGGTGATTGCGAATATACTTTTAAATCAACATACATGTCTGCATGAATGCAACTATTTGCTATTAAGCGAAACGTGACATGATTTTTTACTTTGCCTAACTGTTTTATGAAATAACGTCGAGTCAACACTGGAATTTTAAGCATGTAATTATGATGCTTATAAACGTAGCGAATATTGCACTACAGAATAAAAAAGTTACTCCTGTGTTACAATTCATTGGTTCCCGTTTATAAAGCCAATGGCTCTCCTACGTTTTTTCCTAAGGAAAGCAGGCCGAAGGGGAGCTGTTCGGACACTTAATGATCACCCAACTATTTCCTTAATCAGCACAGACCGAACGGTTATTAAAGCGCGTACGTGGTTCTCGTATGGTTATTGTCTTAGATCCCAATTGTTTTGTTTTTTTACCCTACAACGAAATTTTTGTAAGCATCTGTCCTGAGTGACTCAACTTGTGACGACCTAATTATTAGCATTCCACATTTGACCGTTGATCCAAGAATGTATGCGTAGACTCAAGCGATTTCTTTTTACGAAATTTCGATGTTTCAAGCTTGGCCAACTTAATGTTGATCCTAACGTACTAGCGTCAATAAATGTGTTTTTTTTTTTTTACAAATCGGTCTGAATTTGTTATTGCTAATCAGGTCTTTTTTTTTTTTTGCTCCCAATACCCCAGGAATGCCGTCAGACTGAAGCAATTTGATGAAGAAATAAAGTAACCAAGATGGCTAATTGGGCTAGTTTCTTACTCATCTCTGGATAATACGCCAAAAAACGTCCCGTCTAAATCTTTCTTTGTTTTGTCTGTGTTCTTATGCTTATTGTTTAGTAAAGAACCCCTTGAGTTCCGCCCCCCCCCCCCCCCTTTCCCCCTTCTCTACTGAAGTTTCAAGGGTGCCTTGCTTGTAATATAGAAAGATGTGCTTGTCAATGCACGCGTCTGCGCGCGTGTACATGCAGATGCTCGTAGTAATACAAAGGCTTATAATAATGTCGTACCTTTCTGACCAACAGAGGACACGAACAAGGTCATGGACACGATTAAAAGCGTAAGTATAGTTTTGATTTCATTGGTTTTAAAGATGAAATGCTAGTCTTGTGTACTTTGTCGTTATAGTACAGTAACCTAATAAATTTATTCTAAAAAGTGAACCGCTTCATCGCGGCGTAATGCCACGTTATGCATTGTGGGAATAAGTGGGCAGCGAACTACATACGCACATCGCACCTGGCCCACAAGTTTTTAGAATGCAACGCGCGCGGTGACGGATTTATGGAAGTAGTCAATTGGTTCACCTGCTACGGAAGTGCTTAAAAAACTCTGACACACCTTTTTTTTTTTTTTCCTCTTGCTTTGCAGTTTTTAATGGTGTCAGGAAATTACACATTCAATATTTTGCTGGAGAGTCACGTATCTTTTTAATAAAGCAAAAAAAAGCTCAACTGCTCCGAAACCGAAACATGAACTTGAAGATTTATGGCCGGCTAAGCGTACTGAGAAGGAGGGGGAAATGTGGAGGAAGACAAAGTGGCCGGAAGTCACGTGGCTATCGCTCCCTACAATTTGTTTTCTGCTACTTCGCCTCTGCGGCGTGTGAAGCAGACGACGACGATGACGTTGCATGCACCGTTTGTCGTGCGATCGTTTCGCTTTTCTGCCTTTGAAGATCGATCGGCCACTACAGCAAACGGCAGTTCCGAAGTGGCGGTCCCATGTCCGTCGCAACGCTGTTCTGTCGTGAGCCGCCATCGCGTAGAACCCACGGTACGTCGCCATGCTGAGAATGACGTAGTACGTGTACTTCCTGTGATCCGTGCAGATTATTTTCTTCGATCAGCGTATTTGCAGTTTCTTGGAAGCCAGATAAAAATTAGGTTCATACTGTTTTTTTGTTTTTTTTAATATTTATGGCGAGCCTTTGAATACATTTGGTACGCTAGTTTGAACGGCACGGGACCACGGAAAGAGAGAGCGCATATCAAACCGGCCAATTATCGACCAGTGGATTTCGGGCGGAAAGAAAAGGAATTTTGAGCCGCAAATTGTGTTATAGCCAGTCGGGCTCTCATAGGTCATGTTCAAATAAAAAAACCCGGCAAGCATAAATTCCTTGTTAGTAGCTTCGTTCGATTTACCTCCGGTGCAGAGAAGTGTAGGGCAGTGTAGTACTTCCGGTATGTGTATTGATATAGGACTGGAAGTAGCGCCCTACACTTGTCTGCCCCGGTGCAGGATGTGCGGGCAAATCGAAAACGTTTGGAACAAACAGCCCCACTCCGATATAATAAACACCGCCAAACACATGTGCGAATTCAACCCAGTTCAACAGACCTCCGGAATCACAACGCCATAAAGATGGATTTTTTACGACACCTACTGGGATGCCGGCGTGTGGCGCTGGTTGGGCACGAGTGCTGCGTCAGTGTTCGGCCGGGACTCGTGATAAATCAGCGAGGATACGAGTCCTATCCGAACGCAGACGCACCGCTTCGTACCGATACCTCATTCTCATTGGCTGCCGAGAGGTTACAGGATGACGGGAACTCGACACGCCCAGAGTTCCTTAACGCGTTAACAAGCACCCTTACGGCTTTTATCACTCGGGCGAAAGAAAACAAAACAAAAAAGTGCCGAGTCACTGGGTTGTAGACGCATGCGCAGTGAGACTGATATTCAGCTGAGGAGAGCGTTAGCGCCTGCTCGCAACGCATTCTACAGAATAAACTCCGTCCCGCATTAAGTCACGCACATGCTGCTCTTTCTCTTTCTGTGCGGGGTTGGTTTAGCCGATTGTAGAAGACGCACGAAGACGTCGAGCTTCGTGACGACGCACTTTTGCTGCTGGTTGATTGGCTCTGTAGGATTGTAGCGTTGGCTGCGGTCGAGGGTGAAACGGAGTTTGAAAGACAAAGATGGCGGAGAACAGAAGGCGATTACCCGAATGATCCATGGCGGCGTTTCTCTGGAGATTACTTCTCGCAGAACTTTCGTCGACGTCGCGAGTCCGCGCCAGGCTGTGTATCGACGAGGCGTTGATCCAGCAGCCGTGTCCTCGTATACGCCCCCGATTGGTCCGCGCGTGGATAATGTGTGCACGAAATTCCTTCTCGCGGCTGCAGCAATACGAGGCCCAGATGGAGGAGCTTCGGAACAGGTGCCTCCAGGAACAAGAGAGCAAGGCCAAGCTGGAGATGCACGTGGAGCAACTTCGGAGTCAGTACGAGTCGCAGCTACGAGGGCTGCGGGAGAACGCCTGGCAAAAACCCGAGGTACTGATCCCAAGTGATACGAGTAGGGAGAGCTTTGATACGAGTAGGGAGAGCTTTGGAACAAACAGCCCCACTCCGAGGGTTTGATTATCGCCGTTTTGTTGTTCGCAACCCTTTTTTTTTTTCTTTCTTGACGCATGGCATTTATAGTGTTAGCCTCACATTACTTGAGCTGCGTCGGGTGACACTGTGGCTTTATATATTCAGAAAACCCTCGCAATGTGCCTTTCAGTGGCCCCCTTACTGTGCCCGCAAAAGGAGGGTCACGAAGAGGCATTCTAGATGCTATGACTTTTAAAACGCCTCTGATCAGAAATGCCAGAGAGAGAGACAACTTTTGTTTTGCCAATCCAATGAACGCGCTTTTTTTTTTTTTTTTTTTTTTTTACAAATGATACAATCTCATTGGTGTTAACCCTGCGATTCGCCTTGCCCGTTTCGTGTTTGTTTAAAAAATTGCTTAATACTGACACAGTTGTTAAGGATAGTTAAACATGATGAAAAAGTCAATCAAAATGATAGGACCAAAGAAAGAAACAAGAGAAAATAAAAAGAAGCTGTTTCTATCATATCTTTCCTCTTTTCGTCTTGTTATTTTCTTCATTGTCCCCTCAAGTAAAGAGCCCCCCCAAGGATAGGGGAGGGGGGGGGGGGGGGGGGGGGGGGGGGGCAAGAACGATGGACGCTACTCCACCGACCGCACCACGGAAGGTGGAAGGCCAATGGAACGAAGGACGTCAACACCTTCTTCTCGCCCTTTCCCTTCTTGTCTGTGCTTGTGTTTCCATACGGAAAATGTAGTCCACTACTCGTTGCCGACACCATTTATGCCAATGTATTGATAAGTTCCCTAACCAACATTTTTTAGTTCACTTTTTTCAAAAATTGCTTTAAACTTTTGTATTACATAAGAAGCTGTGAAATGTTGGCATCTGGTCCAGATCGCTAGCGTAACATTGGGGCGTAAACCGAGCGTCCGGTGATGCGTAGGTTACTTTTGTGGTAAAAATAAACATTTCTTACTACACCCTCAGTACATTACAGGTTTTGTTTTTATTCGCAAAACATTTCAAGATCATAGATGGGGGAAAGCATTCCTCGACTCTACATCTCTGAACCTCGTAATATTTCTTTCTGCTTTACTCTTTTTCTACAGATGAACAACAACGACATAAAATCGTCGAAAGAGGAAGAACTCGTCGTTGTGTCTGCCTTGTCGCCCGAGCCCTCCGACATCAGGGCACCGAATGCCTCACCCTCGGACGACACGCAACCGTATGTCGTTCCAGTCAATACTTAGATAAACTTTATTGAACATATAGTGACGCAAGCAACAGGATGAATTTTCATAACGTTTTCCTTTGTTGAGTTCCCTGTGAGTTTCAATTTGACACACACTGACCGCTCATCAATAGCAAGCATGCAAATACAAAGAAGCGACCAGAAACAGTACAACCAATTTCGTGCAAAAACATAACACTTAAGGCCCGCTCACACTCTTGCGACCTTTTAAAACGGTGTTCCTTGAAACCTCTTATAACGAGAGCAGAGCCGTATATTAGGAGAGTTTGGACAATCGGCGGAGCAAAGGCAACCAGCGCCGAAAACTCCCCCCGCGGTTCGAGCGTAAACTAAAGGTACGACACAGCGTCGGCCAATCAGGAGACCGCGACGTCACAATATTGCAAACGACATTTAAAGCGTGAAATAGAAGCATTCGATCTCGGCCTCTCAATTCCATATCAGAAATGTCTGCAGTAAAGACAAAGGCACAGGCGCGTGAGCTTAGCTCAGCGAAATGCTTTTGTTTGTACGAAAACTCGTGCAAAGGAGGCAGTTTCTAAAGGCCATGCGCTCGTGCCCATGCCTTTGTCTGCACTGCTGATGTTTGTGCAGATGGAGTATCGGTGACACTTTTCTCTGGGCTGGCTTGCTAGGTAACCGGACAAAAGCTCACCGGACAAAAGCTCACCGGACAGAAGCTCACCGGACAGAAGCTCACCAGACAAAAGCTCACCCGTTTTTTAACAGACCCGGACAAAAGCTCACCCATTTTTTGACAGACCCGGGCAAAAGCTCACCTCGATTTCTTTTTTTTTTTTTTTTTTTTTCATACCCGGGCGAAACACGGGCTGAAATAAAGGGCAGACGCAATGGACATTGGACCATTTTTAGGAGAACTTGAACCTCATCCACCATTGAGTTACGATTTTTTTTAATACTTTGAAAGAACAGGATTTCGGCCTTTTGGAAAAGTACAAGACAGATGACCAATTTAGAAAATTGTGCGGGATTATAGATAGGCTCGGGTTCCTTCCACCACAGCTTGTTCCACAAGAACTAACCACCAGGGAAAAGTCTACCGGTGACATCGGCTACCTGCTGGACTACTTTGATTGCACGTATGTCAACCGCCGCTTTCTTTATGCTTCTGTTCCATCTGCGGCGGCATCCAGAGCGAATTCTTCCCTTCGCCTGACTCTGCGCCGACGGCGACCGGAGTTTTCCCCGGTACGTGGAATATGTACGGCACTACTCTTCAAGATAAAGACCGGATGAACACCTGCGAAAGATAGAGTACCGGGTTCCAGAAGCTCGTCGGCCACGCCCATCCAAGCGTCTTGAGGCTGATTAAATACCTAAAGCAAAATCAGGCGCTCGTTGCCACGGCATTGACAAAAGCCCGGAGAGGTGAGCCTACAGTAAAGCGGGAGCGAAAAATTACTCTGCACCTGCAGAATCGTCTTAGAAATATTTGCGAGGGCTTGCATGTACATCGAGATCTACCAAGACAGCTGGAGCTAGTGGGGGACAGCATTCGCTTCTAAGCAATCGATAAATAAACTTGTTTCTATTAAAATCAACAAACCATGCGCCTGTCAGATTTAATTTATCGTTGCCTTTTTGTGTCGCGCGCATGCACTCCAAAATGATGGCAATAACGATGGGTAAGTAATGGGCACGCAACATATTACAGTGCATACGCATTTTTTCCTAAATAACGTCTTCGTTTTATTAAAAACACGTTACCACACATTGTTGCGCTAAGTCACGAGTTCTAATTCAAATTTAAATCCAATTTGATCATTACGATCAGTCATTACAAGCCAGTGATACACGTCCGCACGCCGGTACGATACTCTGTTTCACCTTATGATGTACCGCAGAAAAGGCTACAAGCGCGAGCTCCTTGCTTTAGGGCACATCAAGGCGGCACAAGTTCTCGTGCGTTAAGAGTATTTCCCAACGCTATGAGCTCGCGCATCTAGCCTTGTCTGCGGTACAACATAAGGTGAAACGGAGTACAGATCGAAACGAGCAGAAGTAGGGATTGAACCCAGGATTCCTAGGTTCTGCAGCGCGAGCTTTCGCTCCGCGTGCTCCGAGCTGGTGTGCGCGAGCCCACTCGGCCACTCGCCACTCGCCACAATGAAACATCATGGAGTGTGTGGAGGACGAGCTGGAGGGCAATATCCGCGATGTTGGACAGTGGAAGCGCATGGTTGGGGCACTTTTCTCCGTGAGAGCCCAACGCCTTTCAGATAAGAGGCAGCTGGACCTGGATGCCGACGCGCAGACAAGAATTTCAAGTGACATCGATCAGCAGGCTGCAGGCCAATGCCTTCACCATAGCCACTCTCATGACCGACAACGTGCCCGTGATCAGTCGACTGCGGTGGACTTTCCAGAGGAACGAACGGTGGTTCGAAGACACCTTGCCCCATTTGGGCGAGTTCTACTTCAAGCAAGCCTTTCGCGACTCTCCTGCCACCTTCAGATTCCTGGTGGAGTCGTGCAGGTGCCTCCTGGCCGTCGTTGGCCGTCGCGCAGGGGCCAAGGCTGGAAACTAGATTAGCCGCTTGTTTTTCTACAATGCACTACTTTCCTGCCAACAGAAAACAAGTGCGCATCTAATATTAGTCCTATCAAAATAATACTAAATTTACGCAGCGTTAATTTATTCTATTATTTTAACTCCTTGAACACTGCTATCGAGGTTACACACTTGGTCTAGCGGAGCGAGCGTAGTGTGCTCCCCGAACTCACTTCATTGGAAGTGTGTTCTTCGGGCAGGGCTGGGGATTGAGCTCAGGATCACTGGGTTCTCCTTCTCCAGCGCGAGCTTTCTCTCCACGTACTCCGATCAGGTGGGCGCTAGCCCACTCGGCTTCGATACTACTTAATAAAGACACGTTAAAAAAATTGACGTTTACAATTCACTGTAATGCCGAATCGGAGTGCAGCTCTTGAGGAGGAGGGAGGAAGGGTACGAAGGGGAGGGTATGCCAGCTGCTCCCCCTCCGTACCCTCCCATCCTCCTCTCCTGTTCCCGTCCCACTTAGCGTAACAATTTCGCTAAATTTCGCGCTAAATTCAGTCGGGAAATTTTCCCGCTGAATTGACGTGTGACGTCACATGGGTAAAATGTTTCCTCTTAATTTAGCGGAAAAATTTTCCGCCAAACTTAGCAAAAACTTTTACCGCAAATTTTAGCGGGAAAATTTTACCCTCGTGACGTCACTCGTGACGACACACGTACCGTCACGTGTGACGTCATTTTGAGAAACAGCCCTTAATGGAGCGCGCGGTTACGTCGACACCGCTAAACCCAGAAACGGGTGCCTAGGAGCTGTGCTCTAAAACAACGTTACATTAATGAACGATTTTTATGCAAATCGGATGATTCTGATCGATCATCGCAAGCCAAGATAAAGAATGAAGCACATCCAACTTTGGCGTTCCGCTTCGTCCCACGGAAGTATACGAGGACGCCCTGACACTGCCTAATCAGATCATAATTATCGTGTTGTCTCGAATAGTTAAATGCTGAAACAAAAGTAGGCTCTATCGTTCGCTGCTAACCAAGATAGCCATGAATGACTGACTTTGTCGTCGTCTTTTATCAATTCAGCGCTCCGCTAATCTTGATTCAGATCAGCCTAAACTCCAAGTCCACCCCACTATTTTTCTTGCAATGCCACTCTTCTACATGTCGTCGCTTTCACGATTTTCTTTTTCTTTATAAAATAAAACTTACGCCACGCTTTTGGTTTCTGTGTTGTTATGTTTTGCTGTTGAAACACTCCTATACGCCTCGCAAGTGGGCTCATTTTCGTCTTCTGCGCATGAGAAAGGAAGTAGTGGTGACGTCAGAACGCTGAGTCCTGATTGGCTGATCGCGACCCCCTATTGAGCATCGTCTGCTCCTTTGCAACGTCGTCTGCTCGCAACATCGTCTGCGTCTGTCTTACCTTTCCTGCGACTTTCGGAGCGAACTCGACTTTGCCTTTAAGAGAGGGCAGACGAAATAACTCGAGCGGTACATTGTTTTCGTCTAACAACTAGCAGACGCGCATCGAGGAGGGAAGTCAAAGGACTCACTGGCGGCGAGGTGTCCCGAGGCGCCGAGGTTTGTTTGCTAAGAACCGAGAGTGAGCGTGTTAGTGTCCGCAAGTTCCCTCCCGAACACTTTTTCCCTCCATTCATGTGCGGCGAGACCCCTCACTCTTTAACGGCGCCGGCGGGTTGGCGCAGTTAACGTCGTCTGCTTTACGTCTGGCGATGGCTGCTTTACCTTTCCTGCGTCTGTCGGAGATTCACCGCTTTTTAACCGGCGAGAGTCACCGTTGCCTCGGTAAACAAGGAAATAACAAGAGGAAGAAATTGACCTCTTAATCTAAAATTGAGGTCAGCGATCAAAGTATAACACGGGAAGGGTTCACAAGGGTCGCGCGGGCATATTCCATTCAGCACGTCAGCCGGTCGTGGGCAGACGGTCGCCGAGTCGCGGAGTGCCTGCTAGGCCTAACTGCCCGGCTCGTTTGGTCGCGTTCGGCGAAATGGTGGCCGTTGGAGCTTTTCACCGGTGTCTGTGGATCCAGCGTTCTTGTTCGTCGTGCTCTGTTTCAAGTAATTTTTACTTTTTTCTTGCTGCTTGAAGTCAGGACGCGTGAGAAGCTCACGTAGAAAAATAAACGTCCGTGGGTCGTCGCGACCGCGACGCTGTCGGCCATGCTGAGTTGATCGTAAGAAGTCCGTAAGACAGCTTCGGAGCTGTTGTAGGATTTCGCCGTAACCTGCGCAAAACTTACGAAAATTTCGTTTCGTGAATACGAATTTGTTCTTAAGTTTTGTCTTACGCACATTTTTGGCGCAAGATCGTTTCGTGAATCTGGCCTCTGCACTTCCGAAAGTCGCAGGAAACGTAAGACAGACGCAGACGACGTTGCGAGCAGACAACGTTGCAAAGAAACAGACGACGCTCAGATAGGGGGGCGCGATCAGCCAATCAGGGCTCGGCGTTCTGACGTCACCGCTACCCCCTGCGCAAGGAGCAGACGAACTTGCCCTCCGCATTGATGCCACGCACTCGATCGAGCGAAGTGAGTTCGTCAAACTCACTCCAAATGAAGTGTGTTCCTCATGAAGGAGCCGTGTGGCGCACTACAGAAATGACACTAAGGGCGAAGTGCACTCGCTTGTAGTGACACTAAACTAGCCCGTCTGACAGGGGTATAAGCTGAGACTGGCTGAAAGAAAACAGTGCAAAGGGTGGGGCGCGCGAGCGTCTTGAGACGGGGAGTCCCGCTCGGCTCGTGCGCTGGCTTTGGCAGTGCTTTCTTTCCCCGTCTCAGCTGAGACGCTGTTTCTAGCAAGCTGGCCTTGGTTTGAAGCGCACGTTCGTTTATTCTACAATTGAATATTGGCATGACGAAAAACTCACATGCACAACTGCATGCAACTCACGTCACAGCGACGCTAAAACGGCTTAAATTAGTCATGTCACATATTTAGAGCACACGACCACCGCTAGGGGCTGTTTCTCGGCCTGTGGTTGGCCCCGAGATGCTCGTCTATCCAAACCAATGTATGGCCAAACTCTCTCAATAAACGGCTTTGAACGAGAGGACACACTGGCGCCATCTAATGCGTAGCAGTGTGAACTTGGCGGTCCGGCGTATTTTCTATTTCTCTCGCGCATTATCCTTTCTTTCTTGGCTCGAAAAACTTTTGTCAACGTCATAAACGAGCCTTTCTTATAGGTATTACGCAAATTTGACCTCGGAAATACCGCCAAACCTTCAGTCTTGTGAAATGCAGTTCCGGGGTCACTGCAAAGATGGCGCCAGCGTGCCGGTGTGTTCTCTCGTCCTAAGAAATTTTAAGAGGTTCCAACAAGTCTCGCCTCTCTCGGTCGTACTCGATTGCAAGAGTGTGAACGGGCCTTTATCCAGACTGGTGATACATTATTCCTTCAAAACATAAAAATGACGACATGCGATACTCTGTGAAGCAGTTTAGCATGTCGTACATATAAAAGAAAACAAGCCCTCGGGAAGGAAAAAAATAATAATAACCCTTCACCGCAAAGTGCACAGAGGCAAACCTTACAAACCTAAAGCATTATTTTCGATCGAGAGTAATATATTGCCCGAATAGATATACTAAATTTTGCAGATCAAAGTGGACACGCACGTGTTTGAAAGGTTAAGCAATCGATAAAGTTATGTTTTCTTCTGCGATCGTCCCACAAGAAGAAAAAAATGTTCTCTTAATTATATCAATTTTACTTGACCTCGTTTGAATGTCACTAGCTAGAACTTTCTGAATGAAAAAAAAAGCTTTTATTATGTGACAAAAAATGCAACCTTTCCTATAATGATACCATTTTACTGGTCCCAAGTATTTTTGTACCGAAATACATAAACTGCTAAGTGCTTTCCAGGTGTGTTTATCGGTGTGCTTATCTGTGTTTTTCAATTGTTTTATTGGTTTCATATTTTAACTGAATTAGGAAACAGAGACCTTAATGCTCTTCTTTTTTTCTTCTTTCTCAGTAGCCCCACAACAATGGCCCAGATGCAAGCAAAAGCCCTTGAAAGGTACGTTGGAGAAAAAAATACTCACATCTATCCAATAAACCATTCAATTTACAAAAAAAAATATTTCATAATTGTTATTGGCAAACATACAAGTCAATTCATGTTCGGATAGATATATGTTCACCTTTGTATGTGCGCTCTTTATTTATTTAAAAGAATGTAAGGAAGATACGCACATATGTCAAATAATCCTACTTTTATTTAACATGCAACAGGCGGTTCACATTACTAATTATTTTATTATATCACTCGTCGTGTAATCATGCCAGCAGGTTAAAACTCTTGGAAGTAAAATTTCAAATTTAATCACGACTTTCGGAGGATTTTCGGAAATACTTTACTCGTCAGTACAAATTGGGTGTGAAAAGGCTTGCCCCTCAGCGCACTGTTTCTACCGCCCATAGGTGTAAATATAAAATATAAGCCTCGCTTACGCAAAAAATATTTAGGAAAACTCCTGCTAACGGCGACAGTGTACTAATTATAAACTCATCTATTACATCAATTGCCGACCTCCGACGCAGAAGCGAAAACAGCTAAAAAAGCTCGCTTCGTTTCAAAATGAGACACGTAAAATATTTTTTTTAATGTTTCCCATATAGCCTCTTCGCATAAATATAAGAAACATAACAAAATATAAAATAAATCAGTGCCTGATGTATCCAATATATGCACATGGGCTAAAAAAAAACATTATCAGTTAAACGATACAAATAAAATCATAACGATCGCTATCAATCTATACAGTGCTCAGTAAAACAGTTATACAAATAACGGTTACTGTCAAAAGCGATCATTAAATGAATTCCACTTTTTCGCAATCAAGTTATTTAATACAATACATATTGGGCCTAAGGAGTTCACAACTGAATGTTTTTCCGCTAGCATATTAGACAAGCAATCAAATTAGCGTCTGATCAACGCACCTACCTGGCAGCACGATTGATCGTACGATGCTGTCGTTTTCAGGCTGCAGGAGCTGCAGGAGAAGATGCTGGGCGGCGAGAAGAAGCACGACGCCGAGCTCAAAGAGAGGCGAGCCAAGCGCAAGAGCTTCGCTGAAAAGAGGATACGTGCACTGGCAGGTATGCGTGCCGGCTACTCACCGGAACCTGCCAGGGGCTTGGCCAGGACATTTTGCGAGAAAGAAAAAGGAGGGGGGGGGGGGGGGTGCTCTTTAGCGTCGGCGACGTCCAGAATTAAAGTCCAACGAGCAGCCAGAAATTAGGAAACCCTCCCTCGATGCCTTCTCTTTATTCGAGAAAGAGGGAGACCCTCCTCCTTTCTGCGGGGAGTAGATCAGAGACCTGCTCCTGCGGGGAGAGAGGAGACAAGAGTGCGAGGAGGAATGGAGAGAAGGAAGCCGGAAACCGGTTTTCTTCCCGGCAGAAGACGATTCTCTAGGTCGGCCTTTAAGGTGAAAGAGAGAGAAAGAGATGGCGTTCAAGAAAGGGGAAAACGTCGGTCATTAAGCGCCTGTGCCGCGTCATGTTTACCGCACGATGCATAAGCTACATTTCAGAAAGGGGAAGGGGGAGGCTGAGGCCTTTGCCCCCTCCTCCTGGCTTTGCCACTGGAAGTTCTATGACGGCGAGTCCTAGAGAGAGTGATAACAACGCAACAAAGACTTTGAAAATTGAAAACGAGCGTGTTGGTGTATAGCTACGAATACATGAAGGAAGTTTTGCTTCCGTCCCCGTCCTCGATGTTTTATCCTTTCGTGTATTCGCAAAGAATTTGCATGGACTTGATTACATTTTCTGGAGAACGAAAAACTTTTATGCAACAAATACAAGTTGAATTGAGGCGGGCCCTATGCAACACACTGTTACAATCCTCGGTAGTATTACGATTCTTCACTATACTGGGCAAACATTTAGAGCATCGAATATTTTGCATAAGGGACTCGATGCAAAAAATTTGCATCAAATCCCCCCCCCCCTCAAGAAAAAATCAAAAATTACAGGGCTTGTTTTATCGCCAAAATAAACTACGCATGGCCGAACGCTCGTTCTCCACCTTAAGATAGCGCTAGAGGTCCTACCCAGATGTCAGTTTCAGCACGAACCAATATCTAATTCAAAAGTTGTAGGTGATTTTCTAAAAAAAACATTCCACGGGAAAATATGGGGCTCATTTTCGCTTGTTTTCGGTTTCTGTAGCCGTAGAGCCCCATGCACTCGAGAGCTTCATCGGCCCTCCATTTTTCCAATGAAATATTCAGAAAAGTCACTTATAACTTTTGAACAAGATATTGGCACCTGGTTCGGGCCTCAAGCGCTGCATTTCGACGGAGAATGAGCGTTGGGCGAGGCGTAGTTTATTTTTGCGAAGAAAAAAGCGCTGTAAATATTTTGGGGGGACACCCTATGTCAGGTCTAGCATCGAAACGTACACATGTTTGAGGTTATAATTGGTGTGAATTAATATTGCACTATTGCCGCGCATAATTCGTTTGAAATTGTCCGCAGTAACCTTCTGCAGTTGTTCGGCTGAAATTAAATGGTTACATTGTTTTTCAGAGATGCTCAAATTGAAGAATTATGGGAAATTCATAAAAAAAGAATAGCCTAGAAAAATAAAATGTAATTATTTCCGGTTGTCGCAAATTCGCAACATATCGAAAGTACGCGGCGCAGAAGAAGAAAAGAGCAGGAGGAGAAAACAAGGAGGTTAACCGGTCTGCCTCTGGATACTCTGAGTTGGGGAAGAGGATTGGTAGATGAAAGGGAGAAGGAAAGAAAGAGGTTTTAGGAGACATGACTGACTAGCTAATACTCACGTAAGCACTGTGAGTGCAGAATACTGCGCCCACAACCTGCGTCGCAACAAAGTCTACCCAGGCACAAATGCTGGTTGCCGCGAATTTGCCACAAACCCCGAATTTCGCCGCGGACGCCTGGCGCGGCTCGAACAGTAGGTCTTTTACGCTTCAAGGGAATGAACAATCTAATTGATGGTTTCGGCAGTCACTTATGCACCGTCTTACGCGGGGGGGGGGGGGGGGGGGGGGGGTATTCTTTCGCGACGCCGCCGCGAGAGGCGCGTGTATCGGCCACTGCAGGGTGCCCATAGTTGGTTCATACCAAAAACAAAACAAACAGCGCGCGAAAAAAAGAAAATAAAGAAAACAGGGACAAAGAAAAATAAGTGCACACACAGCGCTTGTCCTGTGTACACTTTTGCTCATTTGTCTTCGTTTTTTGTTGTTGTTGTTTTTTTTTTGCGCGCCATTGGTCTTTTTGTTTCATCGCACGCTGCGTTATGAATTCATCTTTCGGCTGCCGCCAGGATAAGCGCTTCCACCAGATAAGACAGACTTTTTGTGTTACGTATATGTTTTGCGAGCTGCGTGCAATTCTATGGGCACCCTGCAGATTTAGTTCATTGGGCGATACGCGCGCCTCTTGCGGCCGCGTCGCGCGTACCCATCGGGAAGCGACCTCGGCAGTCGCAGTTCGACTGCAGTGGTACAGCGGTGGGCATTGCAAGGTCGACATGCCTGCTTGGGCTACCACATTGGCGGAAGCGCAGGAGCAGCGGGAGCAGCGGGAGCAGTGGTGGAGCTCTACCGTTCTCCCTAGGCTGACTCAAAAGTTTCCGCGCGCGGCGCTGTTCGCTGGGCGATCGGTAGCAGCTCCTAGCAGACGCAGGACGCCCATAGGCTAGCACTCATAGCATTTGCTGCATCGTTGACATAATAGAAAATCGAGCCTATACTGGTCGATAGCTGCTGAGAAAGTGACTTTTTTACTGTGTGTTCCAGAAGCCCTAGCCAAGGTCGATGATGAGGACCGGACGCTGCTTCCTGACTACGAAGACATCAACGCCGAGCTCAAGATAAAGTCTTCGCTGGTCAAGAAGGCAAAGAAAAAGGTAAAGCGCAGAACAAAGCGCTGCATCACATGAAAAACAATCGCAGTAGCTGTATTCTGCAAAACATTTCAGATAGTGCGCGGCAGCACAGCAGCGCGTTGCGCGAAGGCCCGTGCCGAAGACCCGAAAACATAAATTCTCTCAACATTGCTGAATGAGGGGAGAGCAGCTTGAATATGTACATAAATACCCACAAAAAAGGGTGAAAGTTCAGAGGCTTTTCATGTGTTGGTCCACGTGTTGTGGAAATCAAGAAACAGTCTTGCAGAAGCTTGGTGCCGTTGTGGGGACATGTATTACTATTTCATAAAAGTTTATTGCAAAAAAAAAAAAACGTATTCCACCCCTTCGACTGTAAACCTTTATGCAGAATAAACAATTCCCTTTCTTTTAAGTTACAGCCACGACAACGCCTGATTAAGCACTGAATTTGAGATTTACATTAGTCTACCCTTTTTATTCGTGTCAACATGAGCCGTACATTTGAGTAGTTTAAAAAGATTGCAGATCGGCAAAATGTTCGCGTTATTTGGCCACCTGTTTACACGTCTACCGGGTAGTCTTTTCAGAAAGCTAAATACATTGTACCATAGACTGCGACTCAGAGTGAACAGCTACAATTTTCTTCTTGGCGGGACTGATAATTCAAACTGCAATAAATCAAGGAAGATGTTGAACATTTGTTATGCGTATGCATTAAATATCAGACTCAACAAAAACAAATGAAAAGAGCGCTTCAACAGCTGGACCCACCACTTTTACTACGGCAAAAGCCCCGGCCCAAGAAACAGTAATTAGAGGATTAAAGCACATCTTTAATGAACTAAAAAAATAGGTCGAAGATCCTGAAGGTCAACTTTAGGTGCATGTAGAAAGTGCAACCGAAAAGTTGCGAGACTGGTATTGTAGCGTGAAAATAGAGGGCAGCACGGTTATGCACGCGCAGCTGTTCAAGGCAGGGACCATGTGTCATTATGCCAAAGGGTGTCATTCTGTGGAAATTTGGAGCTGCGCTACGCCTGTTACTATGACCACGTGCAAAAACGCATTGGTGATTTCAGCGTGAATTGCTACAAGAGCGAAGAGCGAACATTAATTCTGCGTAACACTCGGCAAATCCTAAAGAGGTACATTGAAATGAATCGACAGGCTTATGTCAAAAAAGCAAGGAGCCGTGCTAGGGATTTTCAGTTTCACCCACGCTTCAAGAATAGCAGAATAACATTGGAAGTCGAAAAGAAGTTGAACGACCTTCCCCGACCTCTCTTCGTCTTCCAGAGATGTTCAGCCATTAGAAAAGCCTGAGCGACCCCAAAAACACTTGACACGACTCATTTCTTTTACGCCCTATAAGCCTGCCGACTGATTTCAAGGTCCCTGTTTCACATTTTCAGAGTTTGACGTAGAATTGATGCTCCATCTTCAATCTGGCTGCAGTTCATGCTCAACTCGCGGATATATTAGTGCACATTATTCAACGCTTGCGCTCCCCTCTACATTCCCCTACAGAGTCCAGACAGAGAATAAACTCCGGCTTATCTTTTTATTTTTCAAAACAAATATTTATCTACCCAACAGATTCAGGCCCTGGAGCAAGAAGTCAGGGACTTGCAGACGGAGTTCGAGGCCGACCGCACCGACTACCTGGAAACAATAAGGCGGCAGGACCAGCAGCTGAGGCTGCTGGGTCAGATCCTCGAGAAGGTGCAGCCGTGCATCAGGAGGGACTCCAATTACGCCAATCTGGAACTCGTCAAGGCCCAAAGCGTCTGGGACCAGGATGCCCAAAAATGGAGGCTACCGGAGCTCAGCATCCAGAGGACCAAGCTGCCTCCCACAGGTCGGGTCTTGGTTTTCATGCACGTTTTAGGGGAAGAAACTCATTCAGTATTCAGGAGACCTTGTGAGAAAACATATGTTACGGCAGACGCGTAGAACAAATAATGTGTGCCCACTATCTGGAAGACTCAGCGGAAACTCTTGTGGTTCCTAGCAAGTGACGCGATCATTTAGTTCGAAAACCCAGACATCACGAAACAGAAGTGCCATGATTTCGGAGCACTAACGTGTACGTAGCATGTACAGTGTGCCCAAAAATAAATGCTAAATGTTTTTTTTCCTTTTTTTTTTTTTTGCAAAAATTAAGTATGCATCGCCGAATGCTCAGCCTCCGCAGAAATATAAAGTTAACAGTTTAGACCAGGTGCCAAAAGCCCAGATCTTGCCAATATCTGGTTCGAAAGTTGTGTGATTTTCTAAAAATTTCAATGGGAAAATTGGGTTCGTTCCCGGTTGTAGATGCCATTCGGCTCCATGTATTCGTCGGCCTCAGCGGCCGCAATTTCCCCATTGAACATGTAAAACAAAATCGGTTATACTTTTTTAACCAAATTGTGGCAAACTCTCGAACTTTGGCATCCGGTTCGGACCGCTAGCATATACATTTGGGCAAACAGTGAGCGTTCGGTGACTCTTAGTTTCGCTTAGAAGTGATAAAAATCTTCGAATTATTTTCGAGGACACCGTGTATACTAAAAACATCTATGCAAGCGTTTTAGGATTTATATAGAGAGCTGATCAACGTCTCAAACATATTGACAATTGCCATGGAGCATTTCAAGAACTTATAACAGTTTGGTCCCAATCACTTTGCAAGAATAATGTCACCATAAAAAACCCGTAAATAAAATCTGCGTTTCGCGCTTCTAACAAATATCGTTATTTTCGGAAACTCCGACTGCGTGACGGTGCGGTTTTATAAAGCGGATGTGCTTTATAAAATACATCCGCTTGGAACAGATCGCAGCAGAAGAATTAATCGAAAGACGCCATTTTATTCTCGCCGAATGTGCTTCGTCATGCGTCTTTATAGTTGGTATACTGCTCGTAAAAGAGAGTATCAAGTGACTTTAGAATGGACGACTAGCTAATTTTATTTTTACAGCGATATTACAGCGATAGCTGTTAGTGAGGAACTTCGCGGGTTGCGCGACGTCGACCGCGTTTCATATCGACGCGGTCCGTTTTCGGCACTCCGCCAAAAGATTCTACATTGACGTCACACCGCTGGAGACGACTCTGACATCACGCCGCTCTTCACTTCACCTGTTACATGGCGTCAGCTGATGCCATGATATGAAATTCTGATATCAAGCCACGTCGCACAGTGACGCCACGCGACTAAATGACGTCAGGTGACACCGTGACATAATGACACAGTGACGTCACTTGACACCATGGCGGAACATATGAACATAGACACGAGACTGCTGATAATGCAAACAATAAAAACAAAGCGTTTTCGCTAATTACGCTAGAGAGGTTCTCAGGGCGATAAAACGAACAAAAATTACGTGGGTGTTAAGCCGGCAAAACCACGGGCGTGAAATAAGGTGGACCTACAACGCTTGGAACTTGAGTGCTTGATTTTGGAAGCGTTCGTCAGTGACCACAAGGCGGTATTAATTTGCGTCCCATAACATTGCGTAAGACGGTCAGGCAGCCACACCAACGACAGGGAACGGTTCATGTATGTTCACGCAGTTTCGTAGTTTCCTAAATTTCAAACTTGGGCACGTGATTTTCGAAGTGTTCTTTAATTACCACGAGGCAGTCATAGTTTATGTCCAATAAAATTGTTTAGCACGTTCACGAAATGCTCTTTACTTAATACAGCATCATTGGTTCCAAAACGCTGTGGACTTTTGGTCCGGTGTGTTACTCGGTTTAATACGACACGGCCCATGCGGACTTTGTGGCGCACACTGGCACCGTTACCGTTCATTCAGTCCATCTGCTCCGAAATGACACCTTAGCGGCTCCGACATCACACGTCAACTGTCGCTGTGCTGCACCTTACGGGTTGCGTAAGTGTTTACCAATTGTTTTTAATTTTTTTTTATGCATTCCACAGGTGTACATCCCGGCGGGCGGGTGTTGCAGAACGGCGGAGAAATGCCCACCATCGTGACAAATTATTTCGAAGCGACCTCCGATGAAAACGGCCGAGAGGTACGACCGGCTACGCACACGACGGTCCTCATACTTCGTTTCAGAATATTAAGTCCGACCGCGGCCGTCGCTATACGGAGAACAAGTTCGTCTGCTTCTTTCTCGAAGGTTGCGGTGACGTCAGAAAGACGCCGAGCTCCGATTGGCTCCGACTTAAGGATAGTGGGTAGACCTCAGAGAAAGCAACCTCGAGGTCTACCCACTATTCTTCAGTTGGAGCCAATCGTAGCTCGGCGTCTTTCTGAGGTCACCGCAGCCCCTGAGAAAGAACCAGACGAACGCGGGCGCTCCGTTTAGGATCCGAATGGAGCCAATCAAGAAACATAAAATGTGCATGTCATGGCGCTGTTGTCTTTGTGCGTTTGCGGTCACCCGCTGCAACCAATCAAGCACACTTAATCCGTCGAAACCCTGCGCTTTTATCTGCGCGCGGTTGGTTTAACCTCGCTGCTGGCAGACGCGCCAAGACCACGAGTGCCATGAGGATAAAACAATTTCGGCGCCTCTTGATCAGCTCCATTGGAATATAGCGTTGACTTCGTACAAACTTCAAGTAAAACGGAGTATATATAAAAAAAACGCACTCAGTGTTTATTTTAGTAGCGACATTAGGGAGTTTGAGGGAACCGTTTTTGCCCATCCGATACGGTACGCACTGCGCAAATGGGGGTCTTCTGTGGTGGCGCATGCGCAGTTCGTACCGGAGGGCCATCGTACCGTATCGGATGTACGAAAACCTTCAAACTCTTTTTGTTTAGGCACGGGCAGCGTGACGGTGCATGTTTTATGAAACAAACGGTGGCGAGCAGCTCCGGACGGTTAATTCAAAGGCGCCATTTCGTGCCACAAAATTTGCTGCTATCTTTTTTTTTTTTTTCGTTATTTATTGACAAAGAGGGAATCAAGCGCGATTTCGGCTGTACCAATTAGACAAACATGATTGATCTATTTATTCTATGCCATTTTTTTTTTTTAATGCCGACGTAAAAGTGCCGGCAACGATAAAACGGTGAAAGTGTTTCGCCCTTTATTTATGTTGCAAATTATGATACCATAAAGCGTAGAAGCGGCTCGTTGAGATCACGATGTGGTTTTATATCGGGTATTTAAAAAAAAAACGCGAGTGTCGGGCTAACAGAAGGAACTGCAGTCAATATAGACACCCTAAAAAGAGGCGTCGACTACTTTCCCGCACAGCACTTGGGAGAACCAATCGCGGCAACGTACGGAGAGAGCGCGGTAACTGACGAGCTTAAAAAATCGTACGTATTAGCCCCGAGAGCGAACACAAGCGTCGCTGCGTTCACCGCGCTCTGATTGGGTGGGGCGCACCGTGACATCAGGGGAAGGACTCCGCTTCGCGATCTCGCATCCGGCTCGCTTCCCTGCCCGGGTTTGGCCGTTGCGTGCCGCAAGCACTCCAAGGAGCGGGACCTCGTTTACCCGGTGTACAAGACGCTGGGTGTAGGTCGATGTTGACGTGCTTCCGTACCTTTTCTAAGCGTGCTTGTCACTTTTTTCCTTAAAATTGAGTTACAAATCGCTGAAATTTCCCTGTCGGTCCAAACGGCATAAGGCAATCGTGTAAGGGGCCGGTGAAGCGACGGCGTGTTTCAGGCGCTGGAATTCTGTTACTTGCATGTTCATGATTTAAGAAAATACTACACCGGAATTAAAAACAGCGCAAAAAAACAAGGACCAGACAAAGAAGTAACACAGACGTCTGGTCCTCGTCTTTTCGTGCTGTTTTTAATTCCGAACTTTGTACTAACTCGCTCAAGCCTTAACTCGAGAATACTATAGGTGCCTTCATGTCCGCTTTGCTTAGGGTGGAGACATCTGGCCATTTTGTCTCACACTTTTATTTTTTGTTCAGAAGCGCGTGAAAGAACGTGTCCCTGCACGCGCTCGTGGCGCTGACTGTGCTACGGCGACATTTTGTTTTCGTCGATTTCTTTGTATTTTCCCCGTGAGCGCGTGCTGTCGGCATCGGGTACTACAAAGGGTGGCATCACCCTAAACAGGACATTGAGGCACCCTAGGGAATACTACATCCCGCTTTGCAGGCATTTCAAATGGCATTTATATCAAAGGCCTTTGGGCGGTCGGCAAATTAGCTCGCGACCCCGACTCTGCGCTGCCACTCTGCATGCGCCACTCTGCAACTGCCACAAATATGCACAGCAATAATACCGTAATTTGGAATGTTTATATAGTTCTTCCTGACATTCTTTTTTTAGTCCAGCCTTGTGTATTGGGAAAATACACCGTTTAGTTTAAATTTTCATTTCTAATTAAGAGACACTGCTGCAGGTCGCCAAAAGCTTCCTCGGCCTCCAAATTCCCTGCAGCTGGACTCTCTGAAAACAGAGGAAAACAGGATGAACAGCAAGGGTTCGAACGGCTGTCCAATGGTAGATGCTGCGCTAGTAGCACAAGAAATGTGGAACATGTGACGGGGAACAGTTTGCGTGAGAAAAGCTTTAGGTATTACATGTGAAGAATGACGGCTTGCGTGAGAAAAGCTTCAGGTATTTTAGGTTCAGGACAATTTGATTTAGCTAAAATCGCAATTTTAGAGCCCAAGGCACTAATAACAGGCTAGACACCTTAGCTTACGTTTCTTGTACATTACCCGAGATATATTATTAACAAGTCCACAGATACCACCAGTGGAGTCCGTTGAAATACTATCCGAATCCAGCAAAGGTCAAATGCAAGCAATATATATAAATAAATGCTCCTTCTTTCCTTACTTCGCCCCTGTACTTAGGCTGTCTCACTTGTGATTCTATCTCCATGACCCAGATTGTATTTATCATGTTGCTTGAGCAGCATGCAGCTTTTCTGCATCGGCTTTTTCGCTTAAAAACAGAGATACAAAGAAAATAGCATACATAACCTGCCAATTCGTTCAGACCATCAGCAGCATTGATTGTGTGAGACGTAAATCTATAGTAATGCCCCAGCAATTTTTGTCATATTTCTTTATTTTCCTATACCAGCTGCGATTCATGCATTGCCTGCCCTTTCAACCATGCCTGAAATGCTGCTTGAAGTTTCGCCTGCAGCTACAGGCCATACCTCAATAAAGCCACACATGAAAATTTACACTTCCTACAAAAAACCCGCACAAAAAAAAAAAAATAGAAACGAGCGCGCCGACAGCTGACGTCGTCACAGCCTCCACAGGGCGAACGGGGCGAGTCAGGGAAAAATTCTGTCCTCGCCAGTTCGTCACCCCGGTTCGCCGTAAGGGGGCGCCACGCAAACTCCAACACGCGGCCGTGACGTCACGCAGCTGCGGTGGCGCTGTCGAGGGCACTGCGCAATCGCAGACGATTCACTTCACGCGATTTCGGTTTCGGGGCATGCGCAGTGCCCACGCCTGGAGTGGGCAAACGAGGGCTTGTTTGTAAACAACGTGTCGGTCTATAAACAAACGGCCTGCGCCGTGACATAAAGTACGACGTAAGTGCGCTTGAAACGTCGTGCTAGTGTCACAGTGCAGACTCTTTTTATGCGGGCAGAAAGTGAGGGAGAGGAGGAGACGAGAGCGCGCGTTGACGTCGGGACGCCAAGTTCTGGTTCGAATGATTAGAGGGTAGATGCGAAGCTAGGTGCCTTGGTTTTCAACTGTTTGACCGCGTAAGAAGGCAGAACGCCGGCGTTCGGCGTTTTGCATTCGAACTTGTTCGACGAGTGCAGTGGAGACAAAGGCAGCTAGTATTAGGCCTACCCACTAATCATTGCAACCAGAAATCGGCCTCGTCATGATTCGTTCGCCGAGCTTCCTCCCTAGATTGCAGCGATTGGCTCTTCCCGAGTGCTGTGCGGGAAAGTGGATGCACTGGATTCTTTTATAGTTGTAGTCACTGACAACTTAAGATTCGCACGGCCGTGCCGAGTATCTTATTATCCCTCCCCAGTCAATAAAATCGCAGCGCTAGCTGATAAGAACACGGAATAACTAACGATAGTTATTAGGGAATTGTAGTAGACCGTTTTTCTCCTCCGTTACGGTATCCGTAAAGAAAAGGCCGCAGCTGCGCATGCGCGCCGCCAGCCTTGTCTGCATAGTTCAAGGTCTTGTGGCGGATTACGGAGCGCTATCCGGGTGCTTAGCGGGCTGCGGAAACGGCCTACTACAATTCCCCATTCTACCGAAAAATGACAAAATGGCATTCTCTCCTTTTTTTTTTTTTTTTTTTCATTTCACTCGCAGGGACCAGGAAAGAGTAGAAAGGAAGACTTCGTCAACCATATATTCAAGAAAACAAACAGACAAGAAGAGCTGCTCAGTAAGTAGACGGCTCTGACCCAGATGCTCTCGGTAGATTTCTGAAGTCGCTAAAGGTATTACCTTTAGCGACTTCAGCGCCTCGTCCTGTGTCTCTCCTTCTTGTCCGTGTGTCTTTCGCGCTGTTTTTCAAATGGAGTATTACCTTAATTGCTCGAGTAATAACTGCACTTCCTATAAACGAGGCCTTTGCGTCTATACTTTCCCACAGAGCACACACACAACCAATCATCGCGTTTTGCATCACACAAAAAAAAAGACACGAAAAAAAACGAAGCGAATTTTAAGGTCGAGAACACGATTCTCCGTAAAAAATCGGTTACAGCAGATAGCAATTTTGCGCGAAGGCGTTATCTCTGTCCCGTAAATCGCTTCAATTTGTTTCTCTCCTGCCGATAGCGGTGATTCAGTCTATTATTGCGCTTTGCGGAAAAGCAGACCCACAGGCGTTTGTTCCAAGAAGTGCGGCTGTTACTCGAGCAAATACGGTAATAGGGAAGTAATCCCCGTAGAACACTCGGTAACTCCATAACGCTGCTTGGCCTGTGTCGCTCAAAACACAGAAAGCAATGCGGGGCGCAAGTTGGTCTGCTTCTTGCACAGGGGTTGCGATGATGTCAGAACGCCAAACTCGTATTGACTGAATAAAAAAAAAAGTGAGTAGACTTTAAGGCATCTAGCATCGAAGTCTACCCACTAGCCTTTCAATCAGAGTCAATCAGAGCTCGGCGCCTTTCTGACGTCACCGCAAGTCCTGCGCAAGAAGCAGACGACTTGCTCTCCGCATAGGTTCTTTTCACCGCTCAGTAACTCAAAAACCGCAGGGGCGCACTGCTCCTTCATCAAACAAAAGACACGGTGTTTGCTGCAGACAGTAGGGAGTTTTAGGGAACCGTTTTTGCGCATCCGAGCACGATGGGCCGTCCGGTACGAACTGCGCGTGTGCGAGTCTTCTGCAGTAGCACATGCGCAGACCGTACCGGAGGGCCCGGCGTACTGTATCGGACGTGCGAAAACGGTTCTCCAAAACTCCCTAATTACCTGCGGACACGCCTCGAACATGTTCGAGGGATGTTTGCGTCATATATGTGCAAGCTTCGAACATGTCTGCAGACCAATGACCGTCGTACAAGGAAGGAACACGCCTGACAGAAGAGAGTTTTAGAGAACCGTCTTTGCACACCCGAACGGTACGAACTGCGCGTGTGAGAGTCTTCTGCGCTGGCGGATGCGCAGATCGTACCGGAGGGCCTATCGTACCGTATCGCGTGTGCGAAAACGGTTCCCTCAAACTCCCTAGTTTCTTGAGACTGTCTTCTGTATACGACGATTGAGCGGTATGACCGCGGCTTAACAGCGGCTGCTGTACCTGTATCCGAGCAGCGCAGCTGCTTCAGCGATGTCGATTAGTGTGCCTAGATTTCAAAGAGGGAGCGAATGAAATAATAGAAAGCGTTTGCAATTTAATGGTGGACGCCTCCTGCCCAGATTGGTCATAAGCGCGCATGCGCTGCGTTGTAGCGTGCTGAGGAGGAAAGCGTCCGGAAAGGCAAAGTCGCTTGCAGACGATCGACGCTCTCGTCGCCTCCTCGCAGCTCGCATTTCAAACGCGGCACACAAACCACGTGACCCCGGTGGAGAAGTTTGGAGGCACTCTGAAGTCTAGGCATACTTATGTGAATTTGAGTGGAACAGCCCAAGTTTATTTTATCTTCGAGTGGAACACTCGGATTGCTCCAAGTTTTTCCTTATAAAATATTCCGTTCTGGTACAAAGGAAGCACAAATTAATGTATATTCCCCGCTGTCACGAGAATATTGTATAAGAAAGTTTACCGGTTAGGCGGAGCGCAAGTTCGTCTGCTTCTGGAACGGTGGCTGCTGGTTTCAGAACGCTAAGCTCTAATTGGACGATAGAACAAAAAGTATTGGGCAGACCCTAACGCATCTATAGCACTGAGGTCTACCCACTATCCTTCCAATCAAAGCCAATCAGAACTCGGCGTCTTTCTGACGTCACCGCAACCCCCTGCACAAAAAGCAGACGACTTGTTCTCCGCATACCTTCCGAAAGGATGTCATTCTTGGGCTTGCGAGATTACTCTTTTGTAGCATTTTTTTTTTTTTACGGGTTTCTAAAATTTTGGAGAAAACCATCGGGTTTTGAGGCACGTCTATGGACATTCCCAAAACAAAAACTTTGACATGTCGATACGCAGGACACGATGAGAAGGTGACATGAGTCTTCTGTTCTAAGAACAAAAATAAAACGATAAATTGAAATCTACCTGTTCTTAGATAGCTGAGCAGTGAGGCGAAATAAACGGGCCGCAATGTAAAACTATCACATAGTAATACCAATATCGTAGAGTTGAGATTTTCTACGTTAACTTAGGCGCGAATGCTCCGTCAGCAGTGTGAAGATTGGACGCAAGTGCTCAAACTCGCCTTCCGCCTGAATGGGCGCGCGTCCAAGCCGAAGGATGATCTGGCACTCGAATCTATGACACGCCTCGGGTGGGTAAAGTAAAAAGAGCCAGTCCAATGGTTACAAAAATCACAACCCAAATGTGCTATGCTCTCTTTCACGTCATGATGCTCCGAAGGTACAGGTTATGTGGACCAGAGCCTTTTATACTGGATGCCTTCTGGCCAGATCCCAGTATAAAAGGCTCTGATGTGGACCAGTCCAACGCTGGCTAAAAAACCACTAATATATATATACGACATAGACCCGCCCCAAAGAGTCGGAGGAAACTAGACACGCGCGACGGGACCGCCACCCCGGGAGAGCGGAAGAAAGGGAAACTAGGCACGCAAGCGGGCTTGGAACGACGACAAAAGAAGGGCGGTGCGAGCGTAGACATGGCCGACGCGGGTCGCACAGCGGCAAATCTTTGAGAAACCTTTATCTACCTGAGAGTCTACTGATCTTGAAAATGGTGCCTACTGATAACTAATCTTTTGAATATATCTTTGAAGGTCATTACCTAGTTTGCTGTTGTGGTGCTTTAATTTATACAAGAAACCACTGGCGGCCGGCATCGTACAAACTGAAATTAAAATGGGGTGCTTCCCCTCAAGAGCACTGAAAACTAACGTCCAACACCGTCAAACATCTACTCCGACAACCACATGCCAATGCTTGGAGATTAGTATAATAACATACGGACTTGCGAGCTCGATGGTGTTCTTTGCGTACACTGTCATGTTGTACTTAAGTCGGTGTTATTTTCAAATAGAAATGTTCAACAAACCGCGTAGTGACTGAACCGCTGTCGCGTTCGCGACAAACGCGACAGCATCTACACTCAGTCCTTAGGAAGTTTGTAAACTTGCCGAGGACGCCGGCAAATCGTTTTAAAACGAAACCGCAGCTGAATCTTTGAACCGCATTGAGATGCGACTTGCAGCGCTCGCCCAACCCAAGCTAGCTTGTCGTGCTCCATCCGCCATTTTGAAAGGTTTTGAGTCTTCGTTGACTCAAGTCAAATGCCGCAAATCATAACTATTCTGCTGAACCTTCCCCCAGCACCTTCGGGGACGAATCGATAGCCTCGAAACGATTCACTAAGCCTCCATTTTCTCAAAGTCCCGAACGATTCGCGCACGCATGCGTATTGGCGTCGGCGAATCGTTCGGCGTCAAACCGTTCCTGTCCAAACTACTTAAAGCTTCCAATGACTACTTTAGTACCTTACAGAGAAACATCAAATCGAGAACCGTCTATCTGAAAGGGGCAAAAGACCAGAGATGTTTAAAAGACGGATATACTCATAAAAAAGCTATCCGTCTAATGTAACGATCATACCGAAGTCCAAGGAAATGCTGATAAAACGCACAACGCCCGGTTGAGTACACACAGGGCGTAAACGCTTTAATAATGCCGCCTATCTCTCGCACAGACGAAATCCCGGATCGGTTTTCGCCCGCCTCAACGAGCAGCTCCTTCTCCAGCCTGCTGAAGGCCAAGCAGATCTCTAACAGGCTCGCCAACGGCGTCAACCTCCCGACAGACATCCGCACCAGCCGATCCCTGCCCACGACGAGCACGGGCAAGTTTGCGAACCTCTCCCTGAGCTCGGAAGCTCTCAACAGAAAACCCCTCAGGCTCGAGTCTCTGAACCTGGACGAAGGGCCCCAGAGCTCGAGCCCCCTGCGTTTGGAGACTCTTCATTTGTCTACGGGAAGGACGGAGCCTCCCAGGCGACGGTTCGCCGAGCTGCTCGACTGGCCCGCCTGACAGCAAGAGTGCTCCGACTCGGGACAGTGCAGGGTGTTCACTCGTCTGCCACCGATCAAGGCAGTCGACGAGCTCAGCAGTGATTGATGATTATGTAGGCCCTTTTCAGAAGTGCATGTGATGTCTTTACCGCGTACAAAAAAGTCGCTATGAATGAAGAGAATACCCGTCTAAAAAGAAAACAAAAAAATGCCCCTATAGGATTTATATTATACATTACCATACGAAAGACTCATTCGAAGAAAATCTAAAAATTAGGTATTACTGTCAAAGGTATTCAGAATTTTAAGTGATTCAAGACAATCTACCTTCACTTAAACACTTAACATGCGCATGAACCAGAGTATCGTCGGTGTTGTGTATCGCATGCACATTAAAATATGAAAAATTAAAAAAAAAAATATTATGGACAGGGGAAAGAAAGCAATGCCATTTGTGTAAAGTCTCGCAGGGAAAGTGTGGTGGGGGGGGGGGGGGGGGGGGGGGACAACCCCGGCCAAAATTCAAATTTAGCGGTGCGTTCACTTATTCATAAGTTCATATGGTATTACGGGATTACGGGATATGGGTCGTATGAGTGCATTTTTTTTTTTTTTTTTTTTAGTTGGGTAGGTCGTAGCAACATTTCCCATGCTTCGCTCTATTATGCTTCGTTTCACCATCAGGGACACAACTCACAGCCGAACGCTGAAGCAACACTCGCAATCATCAGGTGTCCTGCGCTGGCCCGCGATAGGTGCCGTAGAATATCTAGCACTGCTGGCTCGTTATCGAGGAGGTGTAGGCCATTGTTGCGTCTTCGCCTCCTTAAGCCATCTGTTATACAATATGAAGAGTCATTGTAAAGTTTATTAAGAAGAGTTGCACGTTTTCGGTTATTTTGAATAATCGATTTATGTACAAAATTTGTGTTGCTTGCTTTTTTTTAGCAGAAGACTGGAGTTCGAGCACCTTAATCACACTACACCGGGCAGCACAGTGCACACGTCAAGCAGCATTTAAATTATGTATGCCATGTGTCTTAGACAAAGTACCCAAAGAAATTCGTCATGTTATGGATACTGTAGGCCAGATTATGGATCTAAGGGCAGCTCCGCCAGGCAGCTACATCAAGAATGAAACACAGAAACGTGGACTGTCCTCCTTCTTTCCATTCCTTCCACTTCAGGCGTTTTTGGCTTTCTTACCGAAGTTCAAAGTTATTTAACATCATAGAAATGCAATAATGTTTTGAATCGATGAGATAAATACCTACTTCCAAGCAACGAGAGGGACCACATAGCGTTCCTAGACCAGTGGCTTTGCGTTATATACATTCCTCTGTGCTTGTTTTTGTCTGTTAGCAGGAGAAATATTGTGTAATGGCGCTCTCCCGGATCGATACCTTTAGCGGAATCCGATCGTGAAAATGGCAATAGCTTGTTCGTTCTAACGAAGCGAAATATGCACTGCCACTAATTGTTGGTCAGTGGTGACTATGTGACATCCACTTTTGAAGAGGGTCTACTGGGCGGTCGATTTCTAAAATCCGTATCTAGGCTCGATTGCCTGCGTTTGGTATAGAAGGAGCTCGTTCACTCAACACTGTCTTTTGTCTGGAAAGAGCCTACAATAACTTATGAAGCCACCCAAATTCATCAGAATTCTGAGTTAGAAGACCAAACCACCTTGGTCCGACAGATGATCAAATGAATATATCACCGTGAAACTTTTGTTCTCGCAAATCTCGCATCTCGCGTTCTCGCATCGCAAATCTCGCGTTCTCGCATCGAGTGAACTCTGCATTGAATTCCAATCATCCGTAGTCGGACATGCTTCATATGCATTATTCTTATAAAGTTTAATAACGTTAAATACCGATTTTTAAGAAGAAATCAACTTCTGTCGTTCGCGTAAATATTTTTATTTGTAGGGGTCAAAGCTAGGCAGTTGTGAGCGAAAGTGTGTTGATATCGAGATAGTGGGATGTTTTAATTATACATTTAATTAAAGGTACTCAAATCTTTTAGTATATATTTTAGTTTAACTTTTAACCTTTCTGTTTATATCAGTCAGTACAACGATTTTCGCGCTAACCTCGCTCCAGCCCTACTATCCGAATGTATAGCCATTTCCATCATGTGAATAGGGGACATATACAGCAAGCATTTTCACTGTTGTGCGAAGCGTTAACCTCCATTTGTATGCAGTGTTACAAACTCTACTTGATATCTAGAACTTTAATTTCAGTCAAAAACATTCTTCCCGATAATAACTTTTCTTATGTAAAACTAGGGTCATATAAAGAACCTCATAAAGTATCATGTACATAGGAATAGTGTAATATAGTTTAGTCAGATTTGCATGTTTGGCGAAATATTTGAAATACTTATTGGATTACAATTTTAATGACGATAGGATGAGGCAGAAACGCCTTGTGGCGTTTATATGATCGACACTACCATTTGTATTATTTCGTTTATTATGATCGTCGAAAAAAAAAAAGAATCAGGACATAACCGATTCACTCGAAGCGACTGAAAAGTCACCACCAACCAGCTATATACAAAACCTTAGCTACCTTTTGTAATTTCCAATATATCATTCTCTCTTGAATGCTTGCACAGCAGTCTCCAAGGTGCATCTTCACCCAACGCTTCAAAGAAGGCGGTGTCACGTCTGCAAAAAATAGCGGTCTCCAAACGCAGAAATGTTGGAATGTAGCCCCCAGTATTTTAAGATGCCGTGTTCTACACAAAGTGAAATCTTCAGAATAGTCTTTAGTCAACTTGATGACTTTGGCACATGTTGTTCAACCAGGCACGATCGACATAAGTATAATCTCACGGGAAAATAAAGAGTGTAAATAATCTGCGGCTGCGATGCTTTAGTTGAAATGTTCAATGTTGTGATAAACCTTGAGCTGATAGCGGTGTCAGTTGGACAAATGTTGTGGCGGTATTTTTGTATGTTGCTCATCCACGACTAGCATTTATCAGTAGATTAGGTTATCTAAATATATAATAGTAAATCTAAAAAGGAAGTGATATTTCAGTGTTTGAAGAGCGAACACGTGACATACCTAATGCGTTACTGATCAGTGCAATAGCGGCAAATCTAAAAATTGTGTTAGATTTTAATTGCATGATCAAATAAAATGCCTATGTATCTAGCTTTCTTACTTTATTTAGTTTACTTCCTAGTAGTTGTTGAGAAAGATGGAAAGCCGGGTATGCCCATTTTAATTCTGATTTTTGAATAATCAATATTGAGATGTATTTTTCAGTTCAATTTATATAGTCTGGTATAAATGCACTTCTTTTCTGCTTGTTTAATAATTAATATTAAAACCTGTGGCGACAACGACACGCTTTATAGTCTGACATTTATATCATTGAATCATTATGTTGGAATGTTTGTAGGATGATATTTTAAGGTGTGTTCTACACAAAGTGAAATCTTCAAAATAGTCTTTAATCAACTGTGACACATGTTGTACATGCAGGCACAATCGTGTAAATAATCTGCGTTTACGATCTTTTACTTTAAATTTTTAATGTTTTTAAAATGTAGCAACTTCGTATTAAAAATGATCGTATTTCAGCAAATACAGAGAATCGACTCGCGCAAGAAAGCAATTATTCCCTGGTGCTAGAGTTTTAAAAGTTATATTGTTTCTTAATTGATAATTTAGTAAGGATCGGAGGTTATGCTTTAACATTTGGTTTTGCACCGTTTTTTTCTACTGTTGGGTACTTTCCAAACATTTGTATTTTTGTTGACGTTTCTTCCGAACATTATAAAATTTGAATATTGTTTTAATTATGCATTCTGGCCAATTTGGCGAACATAAATTTTTGCTGCTTGTTGATTATCTTAGAAATAATGTGCACCATAAAGATCGATGACAGATAAGAGGTGCAGCGTTTAAATAAGGCGTCATTTGGCACATCGGTTTTACTCCGAACTGCTTGATTTTTAAGAACATGAAGTTTGTTTATGTTAGGGGCCGTTGTGGTTCCCCAAACGACCCAATAATAATTTTTATGTGAAGCAAGTAGAAAGTTGTATATTGGCAGGGTGATGTTGATCGGAAGGTTGAAATAAAAACTGGTTGAGAACACCAACAACGTAAGAAATCTTGCAAAGAATAGAGTCAGTGTGACAGTCTAATCACAAGTTTTCTTGGGTCAGCAAAAGCCGATAAAACCCCACAAAAAAAGCTAAGAAAAAAAAAAAAACTCATCGGAGGTTTAAATATATTTCTCAGCTTCTCGTACAGCTGCCAGTTTTGAGATTTCGGCATAGCGATCTGCGCTTACGAGGGACGTGCGCATTTCGGAATGCTCTCCCGGTCTAACTTTCTCCCTCCCCTTGTAGTTCCTCTAATCTTGCCGATGCTGCAACAATATTACACGCATTACAAGAATGACTGATTACCTAAATGACTGATTCAAAAACATGCCTTTTTTTTTTCTTTTGCAAATGCGGACGTGTGATGCTATCTAGGAATATTCATCGACAGCCTTTTCTACTTGAATGGTGATTCACATACATCAACTGCCCAAAAACCGCATCCTGTGAAACATTCATTACCATTACATGAACACCATTTTTAATGATTTTCATCTAACGGTAGACAAGTCGAGCCCAGATTTGGAAGGCACACCAGCCCATTTAACATTCTAAATATCGCAAATGGAGCACTCGCTTATAGATACACTGTACAAGGTGTCCCTGAAAGATATTAACAATGCGTCATATACGAAAGAAAAAAATAACTAGGCATAACTTAACGCTCAGGCTCTGCCGCAATGTTGTGCTAGAGGTCTAGATCAAATTCCAACGTCTCAAGGCTTGCCATTACCTGGTGCAAAAGTTAAAGCTATTCTAAGAAACAATTACTAGGAAAATGGCGGCCGACACAGCCACGATTACCTGGAGCTGGGTGGTTTCAGCAACCCGGAAAGGGTCCCATTTTCCAATTTAAGTTTTCAGAAAATCGCTTATTACCTATTATTCAGATAACGGCGAGCGCTGAAACTTTCGCATTTGGTCCGGACCTTTAGCGCTACATTTGGGCGAAGGCTGAATGTTCGGCCTTATATTTGCGTTA